TAAAAAAATTTAAAATTGCGAAGGAAATTTATTAACACTATACATTGTTTTGGCCCTCACATCATATGTATTAAATGAAGTATAATTACTGATTAAAACAACAAACCTGGTTAAGATATATTGAGAACTGACTTCATTACAAAATTGAAATTGTAAAGTGGCTTCATGGACACCCTGTATTACAGGATGAGTATTTTAAAGCTTATTGGATATAATTTGGGGCAGGGGGGTATAAACCTTCATTTGAATTTATAGTTGAAGTAGTTGTATGCTGCATTCTGCATTATTTGCACGACTGAATTGTCTGGTTCGGTGTTTCTCAATCTTTTTTCTCTCATGACCAATTTTGTTGCACGAATGAAGCACAAAAAGTTCTTATCTCCAAAAAATAGTTACCGGTACTTCCACTTTAATAATTAAAACAAAAAGTTGGTGGTTAGTGATAAACGCATTTCAATAGCATTTTTGTTGGAATCGCGCTTGGTATTATTTTCATTTTGAAACTCTGTATTACAGGGGTCGGCAACCTTTTGTCGCTCGCGGGCCAAAATAATGGTTGCAAGTCATTGTCGGGCCGCACATATTTTTAGAAAGTACCGAAACCGAACGGATGGTACTTTTTATAATAAAAATTATTTCCTCATTACATTGCATATTCGGCGCCATTGAACCCTTTGCACTTAGCATCAACTTTTCTGCGTTTTGTTGCCATTTGTCTAATTATAATTAAATTATAGGCTCATTAAACGAGGTATTGTGAATTTTATACTTCTCAGATTATAATATAATTTAGTCTACACGCGTCTCACAATGAATTGTGTAACGGGAAAAATTAATTCGTCAAAACAGCTGTTTTGTTACTATAGGTCAGTAAAGCGACGCGGGCCGGATTATGTTACTCCGCGAGCCGTAGGTTGTCGACCTTCTGCTCTATAAGCTTTTATGGTGGCGTATTACGCGAACCCACTCAGAATTAAATAATGTGATCATCTTTGAGAGAAGTTACGCATGGCCACTCGAGGGGCTTGATTGGAGTAAAAAAAACATTTTATGAAAATTCGTTTAGATCGGGAAATTGTAGCATTATCATTACGTATCAATTTTCCCATTCATAGTAAATTGCACGGGGATACATTGTGTTTTCTTTTTTATATATTAACATCTTATTGTGGGTCGCACAGAAAAATGGCAATAAAAGTGGGTCTCGACCTGAAAAAGAATGGAAAGCACTGCGTCCAGTCAGATAATTCGCGATTCACGAAGCGCTCCAGCGCTTAAAATGTATTCACCTGTTTGGACTCGGTACACAGGTTTCGCTCCAGCATGGGCTAAGTTAGAGGTATGCAACAGGAGGGTAAGATAGATATAATCGGGTGAAACCGCAGGCCGCATCTCTATTTAACATAGGCTTTCTAGTAGTTGCAGGCACAAAAAGTTTGGTTATTGGTTAATTTAAAATTTGATTAAGGCATTGTAAAGTCATAGACATAGATAATAAATTGGACTCGGCTATAAGCCTCGCAACGTAAAAGGATTGGAATTACTGGCACTTACAAATGAAAATTAAAAACTCGTTTTGTGGGCCGAACATCATTCAAAATTGGCACTTCTCGCGGGCCGCATGCTGCACACCCCTGGACTAATTAATGGCTTTCGTATTATAAAAATCACACCTAAAATACAAATTTTTCCTTTAGCAAGAACGGGGAGCCCCTCATCCGCACTAACACTAAGGGTTGCCTAAACTGAAATATATTTCAAAAGAAGTTCGAAATAATGCTATTGGAAGAATAAGCTTTTAGAAATAAAGAATTAACGGCGTGAGTGAAGTAGGATTCGTGTTAAAATGATATGTTTATTCCCAATCGTGCTCAAAAAACCTTATTACTCTGCCATTTTGTTTTCCCTTATCTTTTGTTTTGAGATTGCAGACGTCGACTTTATCACATGATATAATACAGCGATCTGATTGGTTAAACCGCAATGTAGGTTCAGCAATTGTGTAAATTTACATTTATGAAAGGGCTGAGACGAGAATATAAATCAACTTCGTGTTATGTTTTAGTTGCGCGTCACGAAGGATATTGTTTCTCAGCTTTTGTGTATCATGGCACGTATTGACAGAAGCAGACCAAGGCAGTATTTCCCCACCTGTGGGTCGCGGCCTAAACCGGGTCGCCTCAAAATTTTTTGCGTCGAAAAAATATTTCCTAGTAAATTTTATTGTTTATTTTGTAGTGTAGTGTTGCTCAGTAGTAATTTAATATGTTGGAAATATTACGGTGTAAAATCTTGGCAGCATCTATATTGCATTAATAAATAAATCCACGCCACGATCTCAAAAACTTCCTGATGGCAAACAAGCGCAGCTTTCTTACTAGTGCAACTATGAATTCAACTCTGTTGTAACAAATATTATGTAATAATGACTGTTGTGTAGTAGCCATTTAATTATGCGGTCATAAAAGCACTACATACCGTGTAGTATGCGATTATATCCTTGTGTTGCGAGATTTAACAAAATCTATTTTTAGAAAAAACTGGGTCGCTTGACAAAAAGGCAGGAAACCTCTGGGCAGAGGCACGATCGCCCTTGGTACAAAAACAGTGGTGTACGCATTGAGGGCCGTCATTTAGCAAATTAAAAGAAATTCTGACGTCATTTTTGGTATTTTACAACAATAGGGATATCCAGTATGACGTCATATTAGATTTTGTAAAACTTTTTATGCCCTCACAATGATTTTCCTAATTTTTGTGTAACGAGACGTAATGGTACCAGAAAACCCCGTCGAATCGATATATTTAAATTGACCTATATCCATATAGCCTACATGTCAAAATAAGACAAATTATTTTAATTAATTCAGCCATTTTGTCAAACTCTTTTGTTTACTTAACTTACAGACGTAAGGCTTTTTGTCGTTAATGTCACGACATAGTCACGTGATATAATAAATCAATATGATTGGTCAAATACACACCTTAGAGACAAAGTAAATTTTCGTTTAAGAAATAATATAAATCGGAATTTGAACCTTGTCTTGTGTTATCAGTATCTCTCGTTGTCAAGAAGGTCGATATATCAATTTGCTTATATAATGCGTAATCTTATGTCAATTGTTGATGAAACTAATAATAACATACTCGCTCCGTTCTGAGTGGAATGCAATTTATAGCGTAGATTACGTTCGTAAAGTGTTAATGGTCGCTTGCAAGTCGCAACCTTCTTATTGGGAACTTTCCGCTTTTAGTTGAGCGCTCGGAACTTTAATGTATTTTATACGTATCTTGGAAAAGAAAGAAAAAAGATACCTGGTGACCCGAAAAAGCCATAAACTTATAATAACTTCTGCAGGAACGAAGGAAATTTATTTACATTTGAACGTCTGTTTGTGTATTGTTATACCCAAAAGTTTCTGAAAGCTGGGACGCTTTACACGCAGTTATTGTCTCTCTGGAACATGTTCCAAAAGACCTGGGTTTTGTTTTTTGAGCCTACTTTGTATCTTGAGAGAGGGGGCATGTCTAGAGGGGGCATAGGAGCCTCGAGCAGCACGTTATAGTAGTGAGTTTGTTGCTAAGTTTGATAATTTGAATATTGATAATACAAACATTGCACTCTTACTTGACTTTTAATTTATTTATTTTCATGTAATCCAATATTTATAATTTGTTTATCCCCTTAATTATTTTTAAAGTTAGGAATCAGGGCCATCATTATCAGAAACTCGCCCCGGGCAGCAGGAAAGTTTGGCACGTCTCTGCCTGGGAGAAGAAATAAACGATTCTTTACTGATACCGCTAACCACGTGCGGTTGTTGGTTCATGTCCTACTTGGAAATATCTAAATTAAGTTGTCGCTTATCGTTCCTTGCGTGTAGCGCCTGTGATGAATCACGTAGTAAACTTTTATTGCTGCATGTGCTGTTTACCAAGCTATATTGATTTGTGCACTGCCATAGGGAGGAAAGATTTGCCTATTTGTAGAAGATGAAAGTGGGTAAGATGGTTTTTTGCAAAGGCGAACCATGGCTTTTCGTCCGGTTACCAGTTCATTTCAATTATGGGATTAGTTAGCCGGTTATTTGTTTCAGATGCATCGACTTGATGGCTTCTCTTGCGCATTAACTATCCTCCGCTGGATGCGAAATGGCGCAGATTAACGAGTTGTGTCTAACTCCGAGCCGGCCAAGGCCTCTTGCCCAGTTTGGCAGTTCGTTTTTTAAATTAGATCAGCAATTCACGCATATTTGACAGATTTGCTCAGATTTGAATCGTAAAATTGCAAAAATATGTATTTCAATATCGTTTTGCTCGTCAGCGGTGATTATAATTCTGACATTGGTAACTAATTTTAGCTTAGATTTCAACATCATAGAAATGGATATCTGGGTAGTCCATTATCGTTTCATGCGCACACATGTGAATAGTAATGCCGTAAGTCGTAAAACAATATGGCAGGTTGGCGTTCACAACCCTAAATAAAATTCAAACTTTATCGTAATATTACATGCAATGTTTACCAAGCTGTATAGAGTTTTGTTTGCTGTTTATGATTTACTCAGCTTATATTGTTTGTCCCGTGGTGTTTAGCAAATAGAATATGAATAAATATTGTGTTGCAGCTTTGTGCTTGCTCAGATAACGAAAGTTGTGGGCTACAATGAGAGTTAATAAGATGGGTGGTGCAGGAATGGCAAAACGAATCGAATATTCGAAGTTCTCTTATATCAGATTTATATAGAATTAAGGTAGGACTGTTTTGAACTGAAAAAAAAGTTTTGGGTGCTCCAGAAGTATGCGCACCAAGATGTCGCACAACCTGAACCCTGACCGGTACACACATACTATGTTCAGATTGTGCGCCATCTTGGTGCGCATACTTCTGGAGATCCAAGTTTTGTACTAGACTTGAATCTTCTACACATGGCCGCAGAACGATACGGCGTAGTTCGTGTTTTCATTATATGTATGCGTTAAAAGTTTTTTATGCTTTATTTTTCAGACATAGATACTCTTTATCATGTAGTTCCGATCGCTTAATTTGTCATAAATAAGTAAGAGGTTGTGCGACATTTTTCGATCCCTGGCAGTAATGCGCCCTATTGACAATTGTAATCCAACATATTGTTTCAAACAAATGACCAGAATGGATCGTGACGTCATTGTAGATACGTCATATTTACGAAAACAGAAAAATGAGAGACCATGCAAATGTGGCAATAAAGTACCCTGGTGGCAAAACGATCTTAGGCAAAACTTCCGCGGGGTGGCGATAGCGATTTTTTTATTATTCGGACTATGCATCCTCCTATTCGCGTGGAATATTGTACTTTGGCGCGAACTGGACCATCTTCAACATCAAGTATCTACTTTATCAAACGAACTACATCAATACAAAGAAACGACGTCATCAAATCATGGCGTCAGAGACAGGAACAGGTTGTCAAGACGACGCAGAGAAAGGAACCATGACTGGAATGATCAGGTTTGTGCCATTTCTTATTTCCACTCCCAACAAGGCTTTAGACAAAAATGCATCCAATACGGAAATAGCTCCTCCTATTGAAAGAACCATTATAAATCGTCCGAGTATAGGTCGAAATTAACTTAATACTTATCGATCTTGATCGGTAAGTATGTTGATAGGTATTTGTCTGTCTGTTTATCTGTTAGACACTTTCGTATGTTACGCGATATCTCACGAAAGCGAGGTTGAATCTGCTCCAAGTTTTGCATGTGCATTCATCATATCTCGGACCAGAAGCCTATTAGTTTTCGGTGAATTATGTCGTATAATTAACGCGTTATCAATTAATTAGTGTTGGGACACATGGTGTCGCCATTGAGTCATATCGAATGAATCGAAACCGCTGTTTCTGTTTTGGGGAATCCCCTGAGTCATCAGTCTCCGATCTATATTCTCGTTAATTAATTAGTGATGGGACACATGGTGTCACTATTGAGTCAAAGCGATGATACACGCCGCTGGATTGATAGGTTTGCGGTCTTCGTTCGCTATCTCGTTTGACAAGTCCATGTATCGCAAACAAATAACTGGTTAACTAATGCTGTACCCGAAAACTCGTAACCGAACGAGAGGCCGTGGTTCGATATAATTATGAATAAGTCGTCTTATCAGCTTTCCTTTCCCCCGGGATAAATATGTAAATCTTATCCTATCCTATTTGACTATGAACTATGGTTAAGATAATTCAATTGGGTTATTCAGCCACAATTTCCTTGTTTATCTTCCTAACAATTATATACTAAGCTAAAAGAGAGCTTTTCTCTCCCCTGAATGAAAATATCAGTTCAAAATATATGTTTATTTCGATTCTATAATCAGGTAATAAAATGATTGATAAAAACAAATAAATAAAAACTGATTATGAAATCAGGAAAGCGAACAAAACCTCAGACAAGATTTGAAACTCACAGAGTATAATATATAAGGTTTTGCCAAAAAAAATGGTGCATGTTGACTCAACTATTCTATCCTAAGGTATTGGGTTGGACACATAGTCTTACTGAGCTGGACTAGAGTACATATGACCAGTGGTGGAATTCAGCCGGTTTGCATCGGTTCTATAGAACTGTCTCACAGAATTTCATAAAATCAGCGAACCGGTTAGCATTACTGGTTACTGTCAATGACTTTTTGTAACAGAACCGGCTGAAAAATATGACTTTTGTGATGGAACCGGCTGACAAAAAATTTGAATTCCACCACTGTATATGACCAATCCACAACTTTAACCTTTAGTCTAAAATAAATATCCTTTATATTCTGCATCCTCTACAGACCAGCAAAAATCGAGATATATTTGTTGAAGACAATGATGACAATGAAGATGGAGAAATCCAACACAGAAAGAAAAGAAGCAACGCGGATGAAGGTATGGAAGTGTTTTATTCCATTTTGGTAAGACCAGCGGTTCTCAAACTTTTTATGCAGCGCTCCCATTTTAGAATTTGTCAAGTCTAGCGCCCAACTGAAAAACAAGAATAACGGTCGGAGACCGAAGACTCAATCGAAGGTTTAGGGGATCCCCCAAAACAGAGCTTTTACTCCATAGTGACACCGTGTGTCCCATCACTTATTAATTAATAACTCGCTAATTATACAACATAATTAATCTAAAATCAATAGGCTTCTGGTCCAAGCTATGATAAATGCACATGCAAAATTTGGAGCAGATTCAACCTCGCTTTTGTGAGATATCGCGTGCATCTAACAGACAGACAAACATACAAATAGACAAATACCTATCAACATACTCACCAATTTTAAGATGATAAGTAATAACTAGCTAACAAAAGGCTACAAATAACAAATAGTGAGGCAGATGTATGTTTTATTCAAAAAACACGTTGAAAATACGTGGATGGAACATAAATACCCAAAAAAAAAAGTAAATATCCAAAATATGACGGGCAAAAAAAACTAACCAATATTAATATTTTTAATTAGCTTCACACCCCCCTCAAAAAATTGTCTACTGCCTCCTTGTGGAGCGCACCTCACCGTTTGAGAACCACTGGTTTAGAATATTGCTGGTATCATAGTGGCCATATTAGTCGGCATTCCATATAAATGAGCATTTTTATCTTGTGATTTTTATACATTTGTAGATATGGAAATTGGAAAGATGCCGATGCTTTCAAGAATAAAAAGAAGAACTAAAGGAAAAAAGAGAGGCAGAAAAGGTAAAGAAATATAGAAATTTCTGATTTATTTTGGGATGGATGAAATCACATTAAATGGATAAATCCTATGACAAACCCCGATTCTTGTTCGATTTTCAGTACCACGTTTGGGATTAGTTAACCAGTTATTTGTTTCAGATGCATGGAGTTGATGGTGGAGGAAGCAGTAATCGACCAGTGGTTACGTGAACCACCCTGCGGCGGCGAGGAGACCAGCAATCTTCTTGCACATATAATTATCTTACACAAGAATTCAGCTTACGTAATGTTAAATACAATTTTAATAATTATTTCCAAAGAGAGGTAGGCTGCTAAGACGACCTAATCATATGCCGAACCACAACCTGTCGCCCGGTTACCACTCCTTTTCAGGTACGGGATTAGTCGGCCAGTTATTTGTTTCAGATGCATGGATTTGAGGGTGGAGCAATCCTTAACTGACCAGCGATTACATAGATTACCTTTTGGCAGTAAGGTGTCCAACAAATTTTCTTGTACATATAAAAAAAAATTTGGTTCATGCTGGAGAGAGGAAAGTCGATGAAATGAATTACCCATATTGTGAAATGCAGCCTCTTGTCTGGTTGTCGGTCTAGATTCCTTTGATGATGACCAGGTAAATCGTTAGATTCAAGGGCTCGGCGGTGTGGCGCACTGTGCTGTGTACATTTGTAAATAAATTTTTTGTGCTGAAAACCTGTATAGATTTTTTTGCATCATATGATCTTAAAATATAATTTTTATAAACCTTGCAAAAGTGGAAAATAGTCAATCCTATATAAAATGGCAATCATGCAATCATCTTACCTTATTTATAATTTCGAATAATATATTCCCTTTAGGGCAGAGGATAAAGAGACATTTGATGTTTCGTCCACCTTTAGGTAAAAAGCATGGATTTGTTTGTGATGCAACTAATTGGGTCTGAATTGCGGTGAATTCATGTATTAAACCAGAGCTGAGAATTTTTGGATGAGAGTTCAGTGGCGTATCTAGGGTGTGGCAGCCATGGCTATTGCCATGGGCGCCGTTTGAACAGGGGCGCAAAAACGGAGAAAAAGTATTAAAGTTTCAATAAACTAATTTAAAATTGGGAATAACTGAAACTCGTATTTTATTTAAATAATAACGTACAAGTATCTCAATTCAATATTGGTCACTATAAATTGTCAAACAACTATATGGAGGCACATTTTAGACTTTGCCACGTAGATACGCCCCTGTGAGAGTTGGCATTTTTTCATTAGCGGTATATTTTAGTACTCGCCAAAGTCTGAGCTTGAACTCTTTTTGAATTTGGATCGAGTCGAAATTGCAAACTTTCAATGTTGATAATTGAATTCCAAATTTCTGCAAAAACTCAAAATAAATCATTTGCATCAAATGGACCTGAAAGTCCCATTTCAACCCCGGGTGGGGGTATAAAAATTTTGAAAACTTGGGTGGGGGTATAAAAATTTTGAAAACTTAAATTTTTTTTTGAATACTTTGAGACAAATTTAAAGCTATAACATACTATTATGGGATAAATTGATTCATTTAAAATATTCACAAAACAAAATTTTATAGCTTTGAACTATAGGGCGTTTATAAAGTCCCTTTACAATTTCAATTTTGTTATGAAGTCAGTTCTCAATATATCTTAACCAGGTTATTTGTTTTTTAATCAGTAATTCGAAAAGTATTTTTCTTCATTTAATAAATTTATAAGGGCAAAACAATATATGGTATAGATAAATTCTCTTTGCAATTTTAAAAAATTTTAGGACTTTATGGACATCCTATGAATATGAACACATAACGGCAGTTTTAAATAGCCTTTTCCTTTTTGTTTTCTCCCAAATTAATTAATTAATGATATTTAATGAGTTCGAGAATGCTTAATTATTCAACCGAAATTTAGTTGTCATACATGTTTCTCTTCTAACTTTGTCACCGAATCCATGCATCAGCAACTCATGAGGAACAACTTAATTTTCTTCACAGGGCAGTGATGTGCAACCTTTAATTAAAAGGTGCCAGATACAAATAACAATATATGGTATAGATAAATTTCTTTTGACATTTTAAATCTTTTCAAGACTTTATAGACACCCTCTGAATATGGACACATAACAACAGCTTTGAATAACCTTCAATTTTTTTCTCCCAAATTAATTAATTAACGATATTTAGTGAGTCTGAGAATGCCTAATTATTCAACTGAGACTTAGTTGTCACACATTTTTCACTTCCAACTTTTTGTCACCAAATCCATGCATCACCAACTCATCAGGAACAACTTAATTTTTTTTAATTTTTTTCACAGAGCAGGTGTGTGCAACTTTCAATTTAAGGGGACCAGATACAAATAACTTTGGAAAATAGCGGGCCACACCTTTATTTAACATGGGCTTTCTAGTAGTGCACAAAAGTTGTGGTTATTGACTCTACGACATGTGTTGTTTGCCTCGCACATGCTAGCTGTTAGGGAATTGTAACGTTATAGGAATAGATAACAAATTGGACTTGGGTACAGACTATGCCATGCAAAAGGATTGGAATTACTCACACCTACTAGATAAACTAAATCAGAAACTCGCTTCACAGGCCACACACGATTCAGAATTGTCACTTTTCTGCGGATCGCAAAATTTTTCCTTAAGGGCTGCAGGTTGCACACCCCTGTCATAAAGCATCATAGCCTAATAGCTGGAGCACTTAAAAATTAGTTAACGACTGTTTCCAGTTCAACTGTGACTGCCTAATCCAGGGTATGGCAACGATAGCTCGTGCTCATAAATGTTTGCTTTTTGTGAACTGTTTCATATGTTGCTTGCAGGTCATAGTGCAATATCAATTGCTGATGTGTATGGTTTAAACCAGGGTTCAGCCGCAGACTAAATGTGGCTCGTGAACCAAATTTTTGCAGCCGCTGAACGACCCAACTTTTAATGCATAAAAAAAAATTTATTCTAAATTCATTATTGTCTTCACCCAGATTTATGTGGTGACAAGTGCTGTACGGCGCTAGTTTCGTAGTGAGTAGTGTCAGTTCAATGTTGTTTACTGGATGAACGTCTCATTGTTTGTTGTAATTATAAATTAAAGGAATTTTGATTTTTGAAATTTGAAAATGTCCGACAAACAAAGGGAAGTTTGCAATGAACATCAAACATTCCAAAGCGATTGAACAAAAAAAATATTTTTCTTTCTTGCACATTCCAATAAAGATAAAGTTGGCTGGCCACTGACCTAAACACTCTAACAAGAGATTCTCAAAGTTTTGGTTTCTTGAAGCTTGTGCAGGGATTAACTATTATATGCAGAGCCCCACAACAAATTTATAAAAATGAAAATTATTTGTTTTTACTGCCTTGTTGCCACATTTTGATACTACTGTTGTCAATATTTTATTAATGCAGTTATTGCTTCTTTGGACAGTTACAAAATTATTCGTGTCAGTATTTTAATAAATAGCCAAATAACTCGCAGAGCCCACAAATTTCTCTCATATAGCCATGGGCTCTGTACAGAGCACTTTAAGGACTTATGCACTTGGACACATACCAAAAAGGACTTTTCATTTTCACAAGCATGTAATTAAAAACATTTACTTTTTTGCAGCTTATCTCCATTTGCTCCAATTTTTAAGTTAGAAAAGGATTTTACATATTTACCCCGGGGGAGAGAAAAAGCCGATAAGACGGCTTAATCATATGACGGACCACTTCATCTCGTCCGGTTACCATTCCATGTCGATATGGGATTAGTTAGTTATTTGTTTCCGAAATCACAGACTTGAGTTTAAAATATAATTGTAGTAAAACTCTAAATTTACCATATCCTATATATTTGTATAATATATTGTATCTGCCTGCAGAATTTTCAGATCAAGTCCATGCTTCTGAAACAAATAACTGGTCAAATAATCCCATGAACTGCAGAGGAATGGTATGCCGTATGTTTGAGTCATCTTTTCAGCTTTCTTTTTCACAAGGATAATTTTGTAAAGCCTATCTTAAAAATGACACTTTTTTGCATTAAAATCACTAACAAATTTTTTATTCTTTTTCAGTTCGTGGACGCCGCTTCTCGAATCCACAGGTAAATACATCATTAGAAATCAATGAAGCGTGACTGGTCAGATTAATCCCATCTGAAAAGACAGTTGTCACTGCTGTTCGCAAGCTCGATTAATTTTTTGATAATGAAGTGAAACATGAATCATTTTTAAATACCGCAACTTCTTCAATTATTTAGTAAACTCAATGCTCTTTGAGTTTTAGTAAAACGTTTTTTACTTATTTTTATCAATATTAAAAGTCTGAAATTCCAGTTCCGCCTCCAGAGAATTCAAAGTTCCCACTCTGACCACCGACTTTGGGTAGTTAGTATGACCGAGTCCAGTGGAAACATCTCTAACTTTTCGACTTCCAACTCCCTAGCCCTTTTTATAATACAGTAAAAGCATTGTATAGGAAAATATATATATATATATTTAAAAAAATAGGGCTCCCAAAATCTTTTGTTCGCTAGCAATACCAATTGTAAGTTTAAATAAATTTTATTTTATGATAAATGAGAACTACAAGAACTCCAATTGGTATTATTATAATATTAGCAGAATTTTTTGGACACCCAGTATATATATTTGCATGTAGTTTTTCAAAATTTTACTGTCACGACAATACTGTCAGGGAAACATACAATTTTCTAGAAACATGGTTTTAAAAAACCTTTTACAATAGAAGTTACGATAATTGTTAATTTCTTTTTCCAGGCCACTGCAATCCACGTCAGAATCAAGGGAACAGATCCATATCAAGGTATAGTACCCGATGGTAAGTCATTGGGCATTCCGTATACTGTCAAGCAATAATCGGTGGTGTATCTAGAGTAGGATTTTCTAAACTATGTTCTGCGGATCTCTAGGGGTCCATGATGTGCAACCATGGGTTTATGGTGATTGTTTGGGGACAGAGATATAACTCTCATTGGACACCACCTAGGATCATTCTGTCATTTTGTATTTTTCTTCTTGTCATTGTTAAATAATTGCTGTTCTTTGTATTTACTAGACCAATTGTTTTGAAATTTTCAGTGGTTCAAAGTTGTATTTTTCGCTAGAAACACAAAACTCAATGTGGACTCTATGGGATTTTTTTAGGTGCTTTGACCAAAAATTGCACACCTTTGTGGTGGTTCGCCGTCACAATCATTGCGTTGTGGGGATGATTCGAAGTCAGGAAATGTACTACTTCGTTTTAGCCTTCCATCAGTTTGATCATTGCTCTCTTGTTTATTTTATCTTATTCTTATTTCTCTTGACAGATGAAATCATTCATTCCTGGGACACCAACACTAACAATGGAGCCATAGTCCAGGGATTCGACGTTACAGAAATCAACCTAGGAGAAGGGGAAGCTGGAGTTAGGGTTATGAAAGACGGAATTTACTTCATATACAGTCAGGTAAGAAGGTGAAGTATCTGATGTTCTGAGCCTTCAAATTATAATGATCGTTCTATGCAGTGAAAAGAATTAAAAATATGGGATTATTGGGACTTTTCTCAGGAACTAGTGATATAGAAAAGGGGTCACTATGTTTCCTGTAAGCAAGCTGTGGAGTTTACTTTATACAGGCGCGGCGGTGTGGCTCAACGTGCTAAGCGTTAGGAATACGCTCGCCACCGCACCTCTAATTACTCTGCGTGGGTTCGCAGGTTTGAATCCCATGCAGGGATGGTTATGTGCGAGAGGATTGCTGGACTCCTCGCCGTCGTTGGGTGGTTCACGTAACCGCTGGTCGGTTACAGCTTCCTCCACCACCAAGTCCATGCTTCCGAAAACAAACAATACAGTGAAACTAATCCCGTACCCGACTTGGAATGGTAACCGGACGAGAGGCCGTGGTTTGCCATATGGATAAGCCGTCTTATCGGCTTTCCTCTCCCCCGGGATAAATATGTAAATCCTATCCTATCCCTATCCTAACTACTGATATAGAAGAGGGATCACTATGTTTCCTGTAAGCAAGCTGTGGAGTTTACTTTATACAGTGTGGAAGATATTTATCCCTCATGAGATTCGAGCCTGCGAATCTCAGCTGGTTAATAATTTCAAAATAGTTAACATTGCTTTTATTTTTTGCAGGTTGTATTCAAAATGAACAGGGGGTCAGAGGTCACTGAAAAGGTCATGATTGGGGTCACCGGCAACACAGAACTGGCAGCTTGTACAAATTCTCTTCCGCGCTCTCATAATCCAGACGACTACATTACGTGCTACTCCAGCGGGATAGCGTTTCTTTCACGCGGAGATAAATTCAGAGTAAAAATTTATCCCCCAGGAATGAAGGTATTCATGAATCCGAGCCATACATACTTTGGTGCATTCTTACTCGGTGAGAAAAAACCATAATTGTGGTGTTATGACATCATAAACTTTACATTGCCGACAGACGGAGATTGAACTGAATTGTGATGTCATAGTTATTTGTTGTCATTCAAAATGACAATCTCGCAAAACAGTTTGTTAAACGCTGTTGTTATATTTTCTAAAGCCGCCAAACTATAAAACTTTCTTTTACTTCGAGTACTTTACGGTGACGTTTTATATATCTGTGTGTCATATTTTTATGCTTTTCACCCCAAACATTACTCTAGGGAACCGGCCACTGATATGCCCCCTGTTCATCATTCCAGTGATATTTAGAGTGTTATTATGTTTGGTAAATTGCAAATCCCATTATGTTCAAACAATTCATGCTCAACAAAGGGAAACACCCTGTTAGAAAACATTTATCAAGCAATGAAATTAGAAAGAACAAGGAGTTTTCTTGTAGAGCGAAATGTAAAAAACGACTATTATTGTGTCGCCAACCATCCGCTCTGTGGCCCCCGTGAGGTCCCACGGCCCCCGGCTGGGAACTACTGTTTTAGAAGGTGTTTGTGCTTTAACAATGCCTTAAATTAGCATTTAATAATTTTTTTCGTTTTTTTTTTGTAAACACTAATTGTGCTCCACATTCGTTCCAAGTAAAGTTCAATAACAAAGTAGATTTTTATTGTAAGTAAACATCAGAGTTCTATGTAAGAATGAGCATTTAGGAATAAATATCTGACATGAAGTGGTATTAGGCGGACAGAAGACCATGTTTTACCATATGATTAAGTTGTCATATTGGCTTTTCTCTCCCATGAGATAAATATGAAAACACTATGACCTGTTTGCTGAGGTTGTGTTAGTTAGGTCGTTTCTATGATATGATCAGTTTATTTGATTAAGATGGGATTCTCTATATAAGAGCCTGGGTTCCGTAGTCGAAAAAAACTTTTAATCAATTTTTATGTCGTCCTGTTTGGTGACTTAAAAATCAAAACCCATAATTTTGTTGATTACTTCTACGAGAATGATGAAATTTTATTTTACAATTTTTTGTGAAGATTTATACTCAAAAATTTCAGCATTCTAGGAAGCTTTGCACGAGAGTTAGGTTACCCTGACCTCTATGACCCACCTTTATTTGTTAAAAACTAACATGATTGGATAAAAATTTCAACCTCGACTTTAGGGCTTAATTTTGAAATTGATGTCAGCAAAAAGCAAGCTTTGCAACATCATTTAGGGCGCTGTATATATTGCTTAAAATAGTTCAGATCGTTTTACATTCAATTTGTTATTTTTTTTTTGTTAACGTAATTTTTCGTAGAAATTCTGCATCTAGTGCTGAATGCCTTTATTATGTATCCTAAAACATCAGAAATATCCAAATCAAGAATTAATATATGATGATCAAGAAATGTTTTTTGCACTTTCATCCTGTTCAAGGCTATGGACATGGACAAGGAGCCACTATTTTTTGAAGGACTGAAATCTTTACAGTTCAGCCTTACTAAATTCATTACGGCTGCGGACCCTTGTTTGTGAATCTTATTTTTGACGGATTCTCATCCTATGCTGTATCAATTTATGTACCCAACCAACGGGGAAGGAAAGTCTGAATTAATACATACTAATATTGAATACTGACAAGCTAACGGTAATTCAATAAAATTATGATCTATTTATATCTGTTTCAGACCATTTCCATATCGTTGCTGACCTCCTGTGCAGTCATCACGAACCTCCAGGGGTCTGCGTACCCCACTTTGGGAAACTCTGCTTTGGGTCAGTTGTTCCAAATCTTTTATGGGTCGTGGCCTCCTTCCGAAGGGTACTAGCACTTGTGGATCCCTGTTTGTAATTACAGTGGTATTTATAGTGTTTTTCGATTGGTAGATTCTGAATCCAATAAGATTTAAACAAATCTTGCTCAACAAAGTGAAAACACCTTGCGAAATAACCTTAAAGGAATGAAACTGGGAAGAACGAGAAGTTTTCTTGTAATGTGAAAAGTAATATCAGTTTTGTGCCAAGCATTGTGGCCCCCCCAACTGCTCTGTGGCCCCCTTGTGGGCCATAGGCCTCTAGGTGGGAAACATCGCCTTATGTGAAGTGCTGGTCTGAGACTAGAAAGTGGAAACCAATATTTTTAACTAACCAACATAGTCTGGCCCAACATTTAAACAACTTATCCATCATGCCTATATTTCGGCCAATTTTTTTTGTAGTTAGTTTATTTTTAGATGATAGTTTATTAGACCTCAAAGCTTTTCTTTCAATTGGTAATATCATTTGGCAACTTTAAAAGTTTAGCTTTTTAATTATGTATAATGAAAACATGTTTTTTTCATGTGTCATGCTTTTTGATATTTTCTATTATTTTTAAAGTGCATAACCTTAAGCACGAGTGCCTGCAACATTCAATAACTTCGTAATTGGGAAAAATTCAGTGTGACTGGTATTTACCAAATCCTAAGTTTTAGAAGTTCATTTAGCTAATCAAATCTTATTTTCAAAACTCTGATTTTGTGTGATTTAAAAATATTTATTGTATAAAGTTCAATTGCCTGTTCCTACAAGTTCCATTTTGTTCCAATTGTTTAGGCTTATTACGCCTTGTGTATGAGTTGTAGTCTGTGGAATAGTTGATATATTGGTGATGGATGTTAATTTATTAAATTTAATAAGAAACCATGGATATACGACTCCAAATGTAATGTCATAGTATCATATTAGACTTGAGCCGAGTCAACTAATCTTTTTTCATGAATACATCAGTGGTGACTCGGGCTGCGTATTTTCGAATACCTGGTGATACCAGAAATGAATATTTTTTTCGAATTGAATCTCGAATACTTGGAAAATGTCTAATTGTATGTGACTTTTTTATTGTCATGGTTTCTCCAGTCACATAAATTACTGAGTTTTCACACACTTTCCTGAGTTGTCACACACAATAACTGACGATAACAGTCGTTTGTCAGAATTTCATTTTAAAAATATGGCTTCACAAAAAGATTGAGGAATTTACCTTGATACGAGATGGCGGCGATTCAGAATCAACGTCTAAACCGATTCGAATAATTTAATATTTGATTCGAATATTCAATTTGAAATGCCCAGTCCTAGTGGTGTCACCAGTTGTTTGACAAATGTGATAGACTACAGTAGCGTTTTTCAAACTTTTTTGCCCTGGAACCTCTAATGCTTTTTATCTTGCCTCGTGGAAAACCAAGAAATTAGAAGATAAAATCATTGGGTCGTTTTTGAAAAATTTAGCCTATTGTAAAATTAAAAAGTTTTCTTTAAATTTGACAATTAAAAAATTTGGCCGGCGGTAATGAGCGATTTACTAAAACTCCATACTTTCCAGACTGACATGGGTATTATCGGTCTGTTTACATCGCAAGGCCGGCCCGCCTATTTGACGCCAATTGGGAGACAAATTTACGACACAGAGCCACCGAAGTACGACCGAGATCGCCATGGCGACTAGTTTATTTGCAATTTCAACCCCTCTTCCGCGGAACGCTCCGATAGAACTCGCGGAACACAGTTTGAGAAGTGCTGTTCTACAGTTACAGTCGTTAGCCTTTCTTGATAATAAAACATATACCGGTAGCAAACATGTACCAGTCTTTCTGATCACCCTAGTACAAATATGCCCATAGCTAATATTCAATGATTATTATTGCTTTGTAAATTGCTTTTGTATTTCAATTTATCCTTAGATTTACTATTTTATCTCACTTTTTTTCTTGCTCATGTATTTTTTTAAAAGATTTTTTTCTCAGAGGGAGGGAGAAAAAGACCTTTTTTTTAGTTCAGGCATCATCAGGCACATGTTACAGATGCACCAGGGGTGTTTGGTTGCTTATATAATTTATTTTTTAGTCCTCAATTCAGTTCATTGTGCTTTAATGAGCTTTAAAAAATTGTAATCTTTCCATTTTGTTCCAGAGCATAGGTTCTTGGAGTGCTACAGACAGAGCCCCAGGGCACTGTGAGAAAAACCCAAAGCCTTCGCGAGCCTATTCGCTTACTTTTTAAAATATCAACTTGGCTGATTTTGTAACTGTTCAAAGAAGCGATAAGGGCATTGATAACACTTGACAATGATAGCGTCAATTCAAATATGAAATTATCTATAGTTCCAATAGATGATTATCAATTACTGCCTTGTTGCCACATTTCGACACTACTTCACTAATATGTTTGTCAAGGGTCAAAAGATTTTAACTCCCAAACCGTTTTCCATGAATATTTTTTCATCAGTTAGTACCTCAGTGGTTTTTATTTCATATATGTTAGTATAACTGCCACCAGTTAGAATATTTTTTTTAAAGATTAATTGTGACTATTGTTTCTTCAATTTTGTTTAACCTTCAAAAAAGTTTCAATATGGTCTCTTTATTTCCATACATCGAGAATTCGTATCCCACAGAATCTTCGATCAAAGTGTGGGCTAAAACAGCCAAATTCAATTGACAACCCATTCATTGCATATTGTTGAAGTGATCATGTACGCTTTTCTTACTTTTTTTGTTTAAAAACATTCATCGAATTTCTGATACCATAAAATAGAGTTTTGAATTTACATCATTTGAAACTATTCCAACTCGACTTTATTAAATCAGGAGAATGGTTAAAACCACTGGAATAATCAGCTTCATATTTAACCCAAGATCATACAGGGTGTTCATGAAGTCTTAAAATATTTAAAAATTGCAAAGGGAATTTATCGATACCATATATTTATTGTTTTGGCCCTCACAGATGTATTAAAATAAAGTTAAAATACTTGAACAATTACTGATTAAAAAACAACAAACCTGGTTAAGATATATTGAGAATCGACTCCATAACAAAATTGAAATTATAAAAAGACTTTATGGACACCCTGTATATCTCCATCAACCACTTACCTAAACTTTTATAGGTGCTCCCGAAGTATGCGAACCAAGATGGCGGACATTGGAACGTAACATGGGTAACAGGTTAGGGTTAGGCGATAATTTTTTTCCAATCTTCCTTATTTTAGTCCTATTATCAGTTCGAAGACTAGCCAAGAGCCTCCCGTAGTATTTATACCTAAAATTATGGCCTAACTCTAACCTAGTACACATATTACATTCCGATGTCCGCCATCTTGGTTCGCATACTTCGGGAGCCCCCTTTTATAACTATCTGTACACCTGCCTACTGATGTAATGATCAAATCAGTTCATCCTCCTAAAATTGGTTGATTCTGTGGTATTCACCCTAGTACAAATATGCCCATAGCTAATATTCAATGATTATTATTGCTTTGTAAATTGCTTTTGTATTTCAATTTATCCTTAGATTTACTATTTTATCTCACTTTTTTTCTTGCTCATGTATTTTTTTAAAAGATTTTTTTCTCAGAGGGAGGGAGAAAAAGACCTTTTTTATAGTTCAGGCATCATCAGGCACATGTTACAGATGCACCAGGGGTGTTTGGTTGCTTATATAATTTATTTTTTAGTCCTCAATTCAGTTCATTGTGCTTTAATGAGCTTTAAAAATTGTAATCTTTCCATTTTGTTCCAGAGCATAGGTTCTTGGAGTGCTACAGACAGAGCCCCAGGGCTCTGTGAGAAAAACCCAAAGCCTTCGCGAGCCTATTCGCTTACTTTTTAAAATATCAACATGGCTGATTTTGTAACTGTTCAAAGAAGCGATAAGGGCATTGATAACACTTGACAATGATAGCGTCAATTCAAATATGAAATTATCTATAGTTCCAATAGATGATTATCAATTACTGCCTTGTTGCCACATTTCGACACTACTTCACTAATATGTTTGTCAAGTGTCAAAAGATTGGTGTCAAGTGTCAAGGTCAGACAGATTTTAACTCCCAAACCGTTTTCCATGAATATTTTTTCATCAGTTAGTACCTCAGTGGTTTTTATTTCATGTTAGTATAACTGCCACCAGTTAGAATATTTTTTTAAAGATTAATTGTGACTATTGTTTCTTTAATTTTGTTTAACCTTCAAAAAAGTTTCAATATGGTCTCTTTATTTCCATACATCGAGAATTCGTATCCCACATAGTCCTCGATTAAAATGTGGGCTAAAACAGCCAATTTCAATTGACAACCCATTCATTGCATATTGTTCAATTGATCGTGTACACTTTTCTTACTTTTTTTGTTTAAAAACATTCATCGAATTTCTGATACTGTAAAATAGAGTTTTGAATTTCATTTGAAATTTATCCAACTCGATTTTATCAGGAGAAAGGTTTGCCCTTTTAGAAAAGCCACTGGGATAATCAGCTTCATAATTAACCCAACATCATACAGGGTGTTCATGAAGTCTTAAAATATTTAAAAATTGCAAAGGGAATTTATCGATACCATATATTCATTGTTTTGGCCTTCACAGATGTATTCAAATAAAGTTAAAATACTTGAACAATTACTGATTAAAAAACAACAAACCTAGTTAAGATATATTGAGAATCGACTCCATAACAAAATTGAAAATTATAAAAAGACTTTATGGACACCCTGTATATCTCCATCAACCACTTACCTAAACTTTTATAGGTGCTCCCGAAGTATGCGAACCAAGATGGCGGACATCGGAACGTAACATGGGTAACAGGTTAGGGTTAGGCGATAATTTTTTTCCAATTTTCCTTATTTTAGTCCTATTATCAGTTCGAAGACTAGCCAAGAGCCTCCCGTAGTATTTATACCTAAAATTATGGCCTAACTCTAACCTAGTACACATATTACATTCCGATGTCCGCCATCTTGGTTCGCATACTTCGGGAGCCCCCTTCTATAACTATCTGTACATCAGCCTACTGATGTAATGATCAAATCAGTTCATCCTTCTGAAATGGGTTACCCCAGAATCCCTTCTGTACAGTAAACTTTGATTTTATAGTTTTGTCATATATTTTTTTCTATACCTCGCGCTTTTATCTACTCTTTCTTTTTGCTATTTTTGTTATTATGTTTGCCTGTTTGACATCTGGATATACGGTAGTTTATTCATCTATTCTCTGAGGCATTAACCAGTTGGGGTATATTCAAATATTCGATTGGATTTAAATATCCCTGAATCCTGCTTATAGGAAAGTTATTCACTTACATAGTTAACCAGGCTTTATATGCGGATTGCCTAGTTCAGAGAAAATAGCTATTTGTGGCCTACATAGAATGCTCAATTATCAGTACTCACGTAGTGTGTGTACCAAGTTAGGGCCTAATTTTATATCGATTTTCCTTCGGGGACTGCCTGTGTTAACCAAGTGAATCCCCCCTGCCCATAGGTTTCAGTCCCTTCACACAAATTGATGTAGAGTAGGCAAACAAAATTAGTTACCTTCATATTGGTACACATACTTTTGAAGCGCCCAATTATCTATATATATGTTCAAATTAAGTGTTTATCACTTAATTAAATTTGTAAATACCATTTTCAAGAACAGAAATGGCAGACCTCGCATTATAGCAGCACTGGATTTTGTCTCTATCTCTCACACAGTATCATTGGGTTGATGTGCTTGTTTCTAGGCAGACAAAAGTCCCCCCCCCTCAATGTACTTATATTTAGTGTCATATAGCTTTACGTTTTCTGTAAGTTTGTTTTTATTTTGTTTGAGTGTAAATGCAGTTTGCAAATGAGATGTAAATTATACAATCTTCACTAGTATTGTGTCTCATTTTATCTGGCCTGATTTTATTCTTTATTCAGCGATGGTGACTCAGTTCTTTAGACACGGTGAGCTTGTTGTACATACTGCCGTGTTTTCACGAAAAAAATAGGTCTTTTATTTTAATTTTCATTCAAAAAATAACACTAGGGTTTATTTTTGGAAGGATGTATTTTATTTTCAATGATATAAAAAAATTACAAAGTTGCATCTTTTCCTCTCTCACGTTTTGGATAACGATTTAAAACTTGTTGAAGAGATTTCTTGCTATCGACTATGTCTTATTTTAAGGCGAGGGCTCATATGAAATCATTCTTAAATTCAGACTAGATCTCTCTTTTTCTGAGAAACATGGTTAGCATCACAGGCTGAAGAATATCTTGGGTTTAGACCAGACCTAAATTAAACTCCCACCTGGATGTCAGCGGATCGGTCTTTATGGGAGCCCACAGCACATCAGTTGCCATTAATGATGACTACATTAAAGTAAATTGATATAAAATGTGACATATGATGAAATTGGATTAGTGCCACCTAATGTGGCCAATCGATCTGAAGATGTTGATAGACGTGTTGCAAAGCGAGAGTTTTATTTGGTTAGCGTCCAGATTGCTACATCTTGTAAATTGTTATTTTTTCATTGTTTTAGTATTTAAGTTAATAATAGCGTAGAAAACGGTCCAAATGAGTTTTCCTCGATTGGTGTCACTACGTAGCACATAAAATAACTGATGGAAATTTGTAAAAAGCAAAATTAGGTATTTTTATAGAAGGGAACCGCAGGTGTTCTAAGCCTTTGAAAGAAGCAATTAAAGTTTTAAGAATCCCTGGTTTAAACTCTATATCTGCCACTTTGTCAATGTTGTAATAAATTGAATATAATGCTATCAATAGCCCAAAAGATTGAGTGCGGTCCCGAGCCTTGTTTCTTCAGACACCCAAGTTGATATGGTTGCATAAATTAGATTGCTCACCACGGACTCTCTCACAGATTCTTCGATGTGTATTAATTGCAGTTGATTTCCTTTTTTAATTCATTTAGTGAGGCAACAGACTTTGGTGAAACAACGAATTAAGATCGATCTCCGACATTGTGTTGAACGCTTACCAACCAACGATTGGCGTAAGGACGTCTTCCATTTAATTCCTATACTTCTAAAACGCCACAGGAAATTTAATATACTTTTGGTGATACTTTCATCGAACAACAGATTAAGATACATCCCTGACATAGCCATAGTTCGCTGACCAATCAACGAAGATCGTATCAACGAAGAGCGTAAAGACGTAATCCTTCTATTTTCTACTTTCAAAAGGCCAAACAAAGAATTCCCAAATTTTTAAAATATAGATATATATTATTATCCAAAATTCTAAATTACTAAAGAATTATTTGCAACAAAAATATAAACATTGACTAATAGTACCGTTTGATCAGAGAAAAAAAAGTTTAAAAAATGTGTGTTCGACTAATATTGTGATGATAATATATACAGGGGTAGCCGGAACTTCAACGAAATTGAAGAAAATACTTACCGGTATGAGGTCATAATAAAAAACTTGGTGTCATAATTCAAATTATGTTGCTAACTAAGATGTAGGTCAGGATTCATCTGAAGAAAAGATTAGACAGCTAAAACACGTACACCCCATGCCCGCTTGTTCGGGTTAGGTATGGAAATTGTTAACCAGGGACAAAACGACCTCATGGACAAACCATGACCAATCGTCCGGTTACCGGTCCATGCCAGATATGAAAATTGTTGACCAGTGACAAGACAGCTTAACCATAGACAAAACATAAACGACTGTCCGGTTACCAGTCCTGGTGGGGTATGGGAATTGTTAACCAGTGACAAGACAGTTCAACCATGGACAAACCATGGACGCTTGTCGGTTACCAGACTGGTTCAGACGTGGTAATTGTTAACCAGTGACGAAACAGTTTAACCATGGACAAACCATGACCGCTTAGCCAGGATACCAGTCCAAATCTGGTATGGCAATTGGAAAACAGTTTTAATTGTTCCAAATATATGGACTTGGACATTACGCTAAACTTGACTTGGGTACTCCCGAAGTATGCGCACCAAGATGTCTCACAATCTGAACCCTAACCTGGTACACAACCCGGTTCAGATTGTGCGCCATTTTGGTGCGCATACTTCAGGAGGTTTGAGCAGACACGAAAATACCACTTAGAAAAAGTAAAAAATAAGAATTGGAATGAAATTAAAAATGTAACATTAAGACGAATACAGTGAAGTAACATAGAACCTTGAAATTTTGTAAACAAAATACTACCAGTATACAAAAAATAGCACAAAAACGAAAATTTTATTTTTTCTATTCTATTCTATTTTTTATAATGTTTGAGATTATTTATATACCAGTAGAGATTTTAGGAAGTTTTTGTATTAAATGATGAATTTAAATTGGATAAAAATTATTTGTTTATAAAAAGGCAATCTTTACAATAAAAATTACTTTTTTATGGAAAATATGTAATATCTATTTTATATGAGACTATTCGCTAGTGGTCTGGTGACCCATAATATAATCTACTTTACTGTAATACTGTGTTAGGAAGATCTTTTAATGCATTCTACTGTATTGCGTTATTTACAGCGCTACTATGATATATTAGACTTAATGGGGAAAGGATAGGTTTTTTATTTATCTATGAAGAAAAGAAAAACGATTAGACGGCGAACTAAGACGAACTACGATCTCTCGCTTGGTTACGGGTATGGGATTAGTTGAGCAGTTATATAAAGTCTTAAAAAATTCAAAGGGGAATTTCTCGATATCATACATTGTTTTTGCCCATACAGACGTAATAAATGAAGTAAAAATACTTTACTTCACAACAATTACTAATTAAAAAAGGACTTCATATTCATCTCGGAGAGAGGAAAGTCGACTTGATCATGTGATGAACTAACTACGTTTTCTCGTCTGGTTACTAATTGCTTGTTCATGTTGGGTATCAGATTAGTTTAGCAGTTATATAGAATGTCCAAAAAGTATTTAAATTTTTGAAAATGAAAAGGGAATTTATCGATACCATATATTGTTTGCCCTCACAGATGTATTAAATGAAGTAAAAATACTTGAACAATTACTGATTAAAAAGCAAAAACCTGGTTAAGATATATTCAGAACTGATTTCATAACAAAATAATTGAATTTGTAAAGAGGGGGCTCCCGAAGTATGCGAACCAAGATGGCGGACATCGGAATGTAATATGTGTACTAGGTTAGGGTTAGGCCATAATTTTAGGTATAAATACTACGGGCTCTTGGCTAGTCTTCGAACTGATAATAGGACTAAAATAAGGAAAATTGGAAAAAAATTATCGCCTAACCCTAACCTGTTACCCATGTTACGTTCCGATGTCCGCCATCTTGGTTCGCATACTTCGGGAGCGCCGTAAAGAGACTTTATGGACACCTCGTATTCGTTTGATATGGATGGACTTGATGGTGAAGGAAGCTGCAATTGTATGTTCAGGATAAATACCAATTGAAACGAATAAGTACAGACACGGGTGACATTAAACTAACAGACCTTTATACTAAAGAATGAAAAACACAAAATTTACAAAATAAATGAATCACAGTACAATATCATTACTCCACTACTATTAAAAATAAACAGTAAAATTTACAGTGAATTTCTGCTTCAAATATACAAGTTCTACTTTGGTACTATCCACAATAATCAATGAAGCATTTAAGCCAGCATTGATTTGCTTATATTAGGGTGCCAATATTCTGCCAAGTAACGCTTCACTTATTTGCAGTGGTGCATAGTACCAAAGTAGAACAGATTTAATATTACAATATATAAAACGAGTACACAAGAGTTTTCCCTGGTTTTGGTGTGAATAAATACTAATATGCTTGGCGGGATAATTCGGAATATGGACAGGGACACAATAATTTGTGTCTTCTTCGTATGTATTATCAAAATTGTCACAAAAAAATAAATCAAAAAACACAAAGAACATTTTTTTTGTTAAAAATAAAGAATTGCCTGATATTTTCGTTTGGCAACGGTTCGAAAAAATGAAACCAACAAATTTGTTCGCAGGCTAGTCTGCCCCAACGATATATGATGTCGACCAAAATTGATGACAGTTATTGAATTATCGTAATTAATTATTAGAAACTGTTACCTATTTTTTGTCACAATATATACATATAGGTGGATTTTGTTCGGTTATTTCACTGTTTAAAGCATAACAATTGCATTGCAAAATATAATTTCAAACTTTCTGGCCAAGCCAGCTTTCTAGCACTTGTCTAGAGTTTTGTTCTGGGAAATAAAAAGTACATCAAATGAGTAATAAAAAAAATTGTACATAGTACAGAAAAAAAAAACACAACTATTTTACATAAATCTCAGTCTTATTTTCAAATTTTAGGAATTTTGTGAAACTGATGGTTGCAATTAATAAAAAAAAATGGAAGCAATTATCAATGCTTTCCTAGTTGAAAATTTTGATATTGGAGGCGAGATAGTCTTAGGGTAATGAAATGGTCAAAATCAAAAAATTCGATTCATTTTGAAATCCATGACTGAAAAAGTGTAAATCGCGAGTTTCGAATGTTTTTCTGATCCAACAGCACCATTTAAAATGGGCACTCCTGATGTCTAACATGGAGGTGGCGAATTTTGTTCGCCTACTTTACATCAAGAGACTGAAACCTATGGGCAGGAGGTATATTCACTTGTCTAACACAGACAGCCCCTGAACTCATAACAGAACCAAAATAGGAGAAAATTATGACCAAACCCTAACCTGGTACACATACCACGGCAGTACCGTAAAATGTCTCTTGTGTAAGAAACCTTCAACCAGATCCAAATAATTCCATCACTAAGGGAAGACGGCTTTGGTTCTGCCATCTAAAATCTCAAAGTAAATAACTCTCTACACATACATTGCCTCCTGGTCTTCATTTGCTTTTTGTAAGTCAATACCATTAGCGAATCTGAAATTATCCCCACTGCCTTGGGTATAGTCATCATTTGAAATATGGGAGTAATATTTTGGGCCAAGATTGCTAAGTTTTGTTTTCTCAAGAGCTTTATGGGATTTTTGACGAGGGGGTGGAGCAGGGGGCGTGTCAGTTGGTGAATACTGACCACCACTAATGGTAGCTTGCCCAAGATTGTTATTACCATCCCTTCGATTTGGTGAAGGTGGTGCCCCTCTTAAATTTTCATGCCCATACCCTGGGGGATTACTATATTGCGGAATTCGCGCATCAGCGACTTTTTTGTGATCTAACGATGCTGTTGAAGATAGTGTGAATGCATTTCCATATGACCTATGCGACCCATGTTGCCGGCCATCAATTAGGGGATCATCTTCTAACTGGAATGCGCTCCCGTATGAAGGCTTAGAGTCATTTTCACTGTACAACTGGCTGAGACTACTCAGCGAATTCTTCAACTTTTGGTTGTCGTTAAAAAAGTCGTTGAAATTTGGACGTTTTGAAACTCGGGTTTGGGACACTTGAGGGTGCTCGGGAGTTGCTTTCTGGTTGCCTATGGTTGTTGAATAAGGACCAGATGTGGAATGGTAATCAGGTGATTGGTACGCATTGGTTACACCATGTGAATGGTCACCATGGGATTGGTTGTAATTGGTTTTCTGTGGCGAATATTGTTTTTCTGGTTGATAGTATGGTTTTGCTGATTGGTTTGATTGGTAATTGCTTGGTGATGGGGATTTGGTAAGCTGGTTTGGAGTTTTGCTTGGTGAACTATAGTAACCAGAACTTGGTTGGTATGGTTGGTTTTGGTTTGGTATATCGTAACCAGTATGAAGTCTCGGGTTGTTACGACTAGTTGGAGAAACGTAGTAATATTTTCCGCTGGTTGTTTCCATAACGCCATGGTTTGGTACAGTGGTTTGGGCGCGTCCAAGTTGGTATGCAGATTGGTTACTTTGGTCCCATTTAGTATTTGGTTGTATTTGGTGTGGTGAATACTCGGGAGAAAAGACAGAGCCACCAGAAGTGCCAGATTTCGCCCTGAAATAAAGTAAAAATATTCATAAAAGTTTATTACCAAGTATTGATGCAGATTCACTGGTGGAGCATTAAAATTTTATTTGCCAATTGTTGAGTATACAGGGAGTCCACGACTTACGACGTTGTTCCGTTCTTGAGAAGCGGTGTAAACCGAATTTCAGTGTAAGTCGGAACATTATACTGTACAGTACATAAATTACTCTACACATATCGTACTGTATTGTCCACGTCATTTTAGATGTAAATGACGAAAACCAATGAGCACAAAGCACTGATTTTCTTGATCACAATGATCCAGTTTAAGGGCTTAGATATTACAGTACAATATTATCGATTATATTTGTGTGGAGTGCGTTTTAACCACGAAACGGCGTTATGAAGTGCGCGTTTGTAACCTCGAAACAACGTAAGTCGCGACCGTCGTAACCCGAGGAATCCCTGTACTGCACAGTTGCGAATTTTATGACCAATGATCATATAGGACAGCTGTTTTCCAATCGGGGGGCCCATGTGCCCCCAAATGGGCCATAGAATGGTTGAAAAGGGGCCACAATGCTTGGCGCAAAACTAATTTTATTTCCACTTTACAAGAAAACTCGCCGTTCTTCCTAGATTCATTGCTTGATAAGGTTATTTCACAGGATGTTTCCACTTTGTTAAGCATGAATTGTTTGAACATAATGGGATTTGGATTCTACCAATCAAAATAACACTTCAAATGCCACTGGAGTGATAAACATGGGTGATAAAAGACTACAGAAGAGAGCCACGGGCCATAAAATGTTGGGATTGGGGCACCACTGATATAGTGAATGGTTACTGGACCAAACTGGAGGTGCCTATACCCAGTGTTGGTAGTATTAACATGGTATACACCATTATAAGTCTTCATGCCTTGAGTATTTTCCACACCTTGGTGTTTTATGAATTGCCTAAAACAGTGGTTCCCCCCTTTTTTATCAAGCTACCCATATTTTTTAAAAAATAAATTTTGTAAATTCTCGCGACCCAAGGATATACTCCAATACTGGGTGGTATGTAATGCTTATACCTTCAATGGTCACAAAACTAATAACAGCAGATTCGAAGTTTTTACGCCATAACACTTCCCATATACACAATTACTAGAAAATAAAAGCAGTAACTTTCAGGTTTTTGTTGAAAAAACAAAGACAAGCAACACAAGAAAATTTTCAAGTGACCCAATTTTGGGTTGTAACCGATAAGTTGGAAAACACTGCCCTAAAATATTGCTATTTTGTTTACTACTCACCCAAGACTGTTGTCTCCATTTATTGCCGACCTCATAGACATTGCCGAGCTCGAACCTGGGGACTCGGGATCCGTACCAATCTCGATTCCTGAATCGTTTCGATCTTGGGGGTGTTGGGAAGAAATAACTTGCTGGTGACCTCTAGCAGATGGTGATTTTTGCCCATAATGATCTTGTGAGTGTTGGCCCATTGAATACTGATGTTGACCTTTATTCGATGAAGGATTTATCCGGTACTGGTCTTGTGCGCTCTGTTGGGTCAGTAAATACTGCTGCTGACCTCTAGTGGATGAATATTTTGGCTCGGAGTAATGTCTCTCATTTTTAGGTTCATTTCTCTCATATTGGTAACTTTCAATTTGATTAGTTGAGGCATTTGGGCGGGAATGAATTTGATTGGATGACACTGAATTCGATTTCAGCAAATCAGCAGGTGAGGAATGCAGGTTGCTACGGTGATACCCTCCTTTTTTCCTTGGTGGTGGTATGGGCTCTTGTGATTGGTCCAATGATTGACCAATCATGTCTGAGTTATTGTTATTATTTGAATTGTGATTATAGCCACGATCCTTCTCTGCGAATCGATTTTCCATGGGACGATGAGAATCATCCTGGCAAAAGTACTGCGCCTTTATATCGGAAAATTCTGCATTGCGGGTTTTAAGGTTATTTTGATCGTTGCGCAAATGGTCTGCGTTTTTCCGAGGAGGTTTTGTTTTGGTGTTGCCATGGCGACCGAATGTGAAGCATTCTTGGCCGTCTAAATTGTATTCCTCAACAGACCTGACGTGAGATGGAATAGGGGGTTGAATGTTCTCCTTCTGAGGGTGGAATTCTCGTTGTGGTTGGCTCCTATACCTGTGAAGGAATGAATACGTATATTTTAGTGGATTTTGAAGATTTGCTCAATCAAATTTAATACCTCAATACTCAAAGCAAATACTTTAGTGCGACACCAAAGTGAGTGGTTCTGAATTGAACTATATTAGCATCACTTCTCTGGTTCACACCCCAATGCCCAACATATCACCTAGGGCAGAAGTGGGCAATTACTCTATGAGTGGGCTGGTTACAGACAATAGACTTTGTTACTGGGCCGACGGCTCAAAACTCAATATGGAAAACTATGAATAAAAAAACATATACAAGAGCTAATCCGACAGCATCTCTCATTTTTAGGTTTATTTCTCTCATATTGATAACTTTCACTCCGATTGGTTGAAGCATTTGGGCGGGAATGAATTTGATTGGATGATACTGAATTTGGTTTCAGCAAATCAGCCGGTGAGGAATGCAGGTTGCTACGGTGATACCCTCCTTTTTTTCTTGGTGGTGGTATGGGCTCTTGTGATTGGTCAATTTGATTGACCAATCATGTCTGAGTTATTGTTATTATTTGAATTGTAATTATAGTTAACAGCTTGTTAACGTTTATATAATAATAGGAAATGTAGGCACAATGTAACAGATGCATGGAATTGATGGCGGTGGAAGCCGTAACCAACCAACAGTTACATGAACCACCCAAATAACTCAGAACTGAGAGTCGAAATAATATAAAAATATCAATAGCCTCTATCCCTATATATACATGAACCCTTATGATCAAACAAGGTTGATAAGGCTTTTAATAGAATAAAAGTTACGTTCCTATAAAATACATATTCAAATACCTGTCCATATCAGCATTCTGCCATCCTCTATCTCTTGCATTGCCTTCCTGTGACCTTTGACCCTTCTTCTGATGGTTTCGTTCAATCTCATGACTCCCTACTCCCTCTATGTTGCTTCTCATGGCGGACTTTGAAGCTTCAGAATCGTGGTACGGAACTCCTGTCACAGATTTCCGACCGGAGTTAAAATGAACAGGGGTGGGGATGCGCGATTTCCGACTTTCGTGTCTGAAATAAAAAGATTTTGGATGAAATATGTTGGATTGTAAGTGGAAATATTGTTGATGAGACCTATTCGTACATACATTGTTTTTATCTGTGTATATATTGCCTTTTAGTCTCGTCATACGAGCCAAAATAAAATGTATATACCGTATTTGCTCGTTTTTTTTCTTAGTATTTTTAAAGAAAAATTATACACAAAATATATTGTCATTTCCAGTTCTCGAGTATGATTTAAACGAGAATAACGAAAGTGAATTTTGGACGCTTAAGGCGTGAGTGTTATCTACCAGCGCCCAAAATTCAACAGCGTTGTGACAAAAGCGCTTCTTATTTCCTATTGTTCTCTACCACTGAAAAATCAGCTTTTACATCGGGCGGGTATTCAAGCACCGGCCCTTATTTATTTTTATGTTCTGTTCACACGGGCGGCCATTCAAACGGGCCGGTAAAATGAGCATATACGGTATATATAATTTTTACATTCATGTAAAAAATTGTAACATTTCTTCGGCCCAATCTGTAGAAATAGAAAGCTGATATTCAGTGATGCACTAGGCTCCTTTCTTAATATATTGCAAGATATCTTTTTCAAAAACTTTCCGTAAAATCAAGCATCAATCAATCGGCAAAATTATTTGCCCAACAAGCCTATTATGCAAATATACAGAATCAAAAAAATTTCACATTCTTTGATAATTTTTTGCAAATTAAAAATCGGGACATATTTTTACTTTTCACAATACCGGTATCTATTACAAGTATACAGCTGCCTTACCCAGATTCGTAAACTGGCATGAGACCATCTTTCACCATACAAATAATCAAGTTTTTTAAAACATTTGTCAAAAGTTATTTCATTTTTAAGATATTTAAAATCAGAATTGAAGTATTTAATAGTCAGGAAAAAAAATACTGAATTTTCAATAATTGAGATAGTTTGGACAAATAAGATTACATACAGTTGCAAGCCCATATCTATGCAATTTTGGCTAAGACAAATTCAAAGTTTATTAAATTCACCGAAGCTATGCTCATCCAATATATCGTGTTTTGGCATATGATTAAGCCATCTTATCAGCTTTTCTTACCCTTGAGATAATTCATTAAAAATTCAAAACATTTCAGATTTTTCAAATTATTTCACATCAAAAATCACGATTCACTCCCTTTTTGATAATTATGACCATCACCATAATTGAGAAAAAACAAAATAATTTTGAATCAAAAACGTTTTAACAAGCAAGATTGCTTCCTTTGATCAGAATCCAACTCAATACTCACATTTTTATATTTCTATGATTTCATCAGAAAAATTGAAATATTGAAAAAACTTTGAACTATCATAACAAGAGTTACAAAAAAACACGCCCTAAACACGCCCTCCTCAGAAATGCTAGCCTTGCTCTAAATATTCTACAGACAAGCAGCATAAATCAGCAATGAAGGAAAAAATTATATTTATTTTAGACTAGTCGTATTTTTCATTTTCTACATTCCTCAGTCATGGCCTAGTAAATGACGCATTGCTAAAATCGACCAAATGTCCCTTAAAAATATATCAGCAATGCAGTCAAATTTGTGAAGGTTTAGGACAGGGGTGCGCAACATACGGCCCGCAACGAGATTTTGATCGGCCCGCTGACTGTATCCAACCACACTCTGTAATGTGGTCCGACGCATCATTCCTGAAAGTTGCCGATCGCTCTACTCTCGCCGCACTGTCAGTGCGAGCTGGTGAAATAAACAATTGCCTTAGTGAACAAACAATTGCGTTAGCACACTTGGTAAACAAACAATATAAGGTCAGAGCAGAGAGCGTTGTAAACATTCCCCACTACTGTTATCAGATATATTTAGATTCTAAATATAATTAGATTTTAGAAATTGGATTTTATATTAGGTTTTATTAATCATGGAATATCCCAAGAAACATTAAGTTGACTGAGAGTGTTGAGCATTTAATAAAGATTGGATACCGAAGTATTTTTTGTAGTAATCCGGCCCGCCGAGGACTTCATTTTTCCACATCTGGCTCGCCGACTAGAGAAGTTTCCCACCCCTGGTTTAGGACATTACCTGTGAGGTGAACTTTCGCTAACAGATGCGGTCTGAAGGACACAATTTAGAATTGGCAAGACCTAATTTATCACACTTTTACTGCAACACTTCTTTTACCTTTTTTGCTTGCTTTTATTATTAAATGTTAATAAAATGACTGATCAAATGTGTTGACTAGGTATTTTCATAGTAATAGCGGAGGCCACAAGGTTTGAGAGTCTTTGTAAGGTAGGCTACGGATCTTGCAAGCTTGAGAACTACTGATAGTTAGATTGATTTATTGATTTGTCAACCAAAACAAATGTTAATATGAAGACATACATACGAATAATTAAACAATGTTATTGGTAAAGACTGGAGGGAGCGATACGACCATACAGTCATCCAAGTCAGCTCCCCCCAAATCCACTGTTATGCATAAGATTCACGGTTATTAGGCGACTGTGTATGCAAAGGCTAATCATTAGAGTGTTATACACTTATATTACTTAATAAAAAGCACAAATACAAGGAACTTATGATTGAAATTAGTTATCAGGCTTGACCCCACGGTCAACATTATTACTTATCGATTTTAATCGGTAAGTATATTGATAGGTATTTGTCTGTATGTCTGTCTGTTAGATGCACGCGATATCTCACGAAAGCGAGATTGAATCTGCTCCAGATTTTGCATGTGCATTCATCATATGTCGGACCAAAAGCCTATTGATTTTGGATGAATTATGTCGTATAATTAGCGAGTTATTAATTAATCATTGACCAAGTGATCTGGATTTTTGTGAAGCGAGAGAATTTTGAGATCTGCCGAGTGTGTGTGTGCGATGCACAGTGCGCAAGTTACAAGAGCGGATGAATCGAAACCGCAGTTTCTGTTTTGGGGAATCCCCTAACTCTCGATCGATAAGTCTTCGGTTTCCAACCGATATTCTCGTTGATACATTTGGAGGCTTACCTATCCTTCCTTGGCCTTGGTCCTCTGTCATCTAGGAAATCATCAACACTTCGACTCCTGATTGTAGATGCCGCATTACGCTTCGCTCCACCGCTCATCGCCATGGCAACTTCAAAATCTTCTGAATCAGCTAACGAATCTGCTGTCTCAAATGATCTCTGAAGTAAATAAAACATGGTTGAGTTTAGGTTTTGTTTGTTTCTGAACTTTAATTCGTTTGAATCTAGAACTTGGTAGAGTGAAAAGGGGGAGAGGAAAGCTGATGAGACTACTTCCTACTATAGCTTAGCCAGCTGCTATTAACTTGGCCTTTGTTTCCCACAGATTCAAGAATCTTCCGTATTGGAAAAGGCATTATGGAAGACCAAATCAATTTATAGCCTGTTATGGAATTGTGCATGGAACGGATTAGGTTACCGTACATATTCGTCCCGGGGAAAGGAAAGAGGGCTTAGTTACATGGCGTACCACGGCCTCACATTTAGTTACTAGTACAAGTCTGGTATGGGATGAGTTGTTATTACTTATCGATCTTTAGATCGGTAAGTATGTTGATAGGTATTCGTCTGTTTGTCTTTCTGTCTGTTAGATGCACGCGATATCTCACGAAGGCAAGGTTAAATCTGCTCCAAATTTTTCATGTGCATTCATCATATCTCGGACCAGAAGCCTATTGATTTTGGATGAATCATGTCGTATGTTTAGCGAGTTATTAATTAATTAGTGATGGGACACGCGGTGTCACCATAGAGTCATGAATCGAAACCGCAGTCTTCGGTCTCCAACCGATATTCTCGTTTGTCAGTTATTTGTTTTCTGATGCATGGACTTAATGGCGGATGAAGCCGTAACCGATCAGCGATTACCCCCAGCATGATCGAATCCATGCATGGTAATTCGATGTGTGATGGTAAGGTTTTCATTTTGACTTAAGCACATTTGACTGTAAGTTTGGAAATTGATTTGTCTTTTAGGTGGACCATCTTGAAGTGCAGGACAGGATTTTTCACATTTACAATCACTTACATTCGTTGCTTCTGAGTCCACAGAATCCATTCTAGCAGCTGGTTTATGTCTGAGATTAGCTGGTGATTTGCTCCGAGATTGTTTCTTCTGGATTCGACGGCCATTGTAGTCGTATTCCTGGAAAGTTAAAATATATTAATGAAGATAATAAAGTGTTGTGTACCATCCTGGGCAGGGAAGCCGGATAAAGTTTTCAATCGACCGCTACTCTGAGTTAAAAATAATTCTGGCTTTTACTCTTAACTTCAGGTTCTAAAAAATTTTATACTCTATCTTCGAACAAAAGTCAAATGCTAAGGAATGCCAAATAGAGGCAAAATAGGATCATGATCAATACAAAAACGAGAATATCGGTCAGAGACCGAAGACTTATCAATCGGAAGTTAGGGGATCCCCCAAAACAGCGCTCTTACTCCATAGTGACACCTTCACTAACTAATTAACAACTCGCCGACATATGATGAATGCACATGCAAACTCTGGAGAAGATTCAATTTCGCTTTCGTGAGATATCGCGTGCATCTAACAGACAGACAGACAGACAAATACCTATCAACATACTTACCGATTAAAATCAATAAGTAATATTGGTTTCTTATACAGTAGGTAGTAGAATTTTTATAAGTATTCCTAGAGGGCGGAAAGTTGATAAGACGGCGCAAACTACGGTCTTTCGCCCGGTTACGAGTCCATGGGATTAGTTAATCAAATATTTTTTTCAGATGCTTGGACTTGACAGTGGAGCAAGTCATACTGACAAACGGTTGCGCAAACCACTCAACGATAGCAATGAATTCAGCAATATTCTCGCACATAATTATCCAAACAGGATTTGAACCTGTGCAGGAAAATCGGCGCTCCAGAAGTATGTGTACCAATATGAAGGTAACTAATTTTGTTTGCCTACTTTACATCAAGTTGTGTAAAGGGACTGAAGCCTATGGACAGGGGGACATTCACTTGGCTAACACAGACAGTCCCTGAACTCCTGATAGGACTAAAATAAGGAAAATCAGAATAAAATTATGGCCTAACCCTAACCTGGTACACAAACTACGGGAGTACCGAGTAATCAGAGGTGCAATAGAAAATGGATTCCTGACATTCCACACAATTCACCAACTGCCAAGTCACTCTTCAGTGGTTGCAAATAAAGGACCATGTTCAGAGCAAAATCATCTCATACCAACATAAAAATAAACAAAATAGGTGCTCTCGAAGTATGTGAACCAAGATGGCTGACACCGGAACGTAGTATGTGTACCAGGTAAGGGTTAGGCCCTAATTTTATTTCAATTTACGTGTTCAGGGACTAGCCAAGTGTCTTCCCCCGTAGTATATGTACCCGAAATAATGGCCCAACCATAACTTGGTACACATTCTACATTCCGGTGTACGCCATCTTAGTTTACATACTACGAAAGTACCCATTAAAATATACATACCACTACAGGGCTCTTCATATGATCAAAACTCTCATTCCCAGAGATTCTATCTTCTGACTCCACTGACCCTGCTGCTGCCAATTTCTTCTGGTTTTCAGTAAATTCTCTTTCCATTTCTTGAAGCATTCTGGATTCCTTGTCCTTTGGTTGAATTTGTTGGGAAACCTCTGGCTCTTTCCTGAATTCAAATCAGAATAAATTTAATTAATAGAAATTTTTTACTTTTTATATCGTTTGGCAATGCTTTTAAAACGACGTATTCCAAAACGATATGATTTGAGAGTCTATGGTAGCATTATAATCTTACTTAGTAGTATTATTTTGCTACTGAAAAACATAAAAGAATAAAAACAACAGTAGGTATCCGAAGCGATCATTGAAATACTCATTGGTGATAGTAATCTTCCAAAGTATTTAGGATAGGATTTACATATTTATCCCAGGGGAGAGGAAAGCCGATAAGGCGACTTAATCATATGACGAAACACGGGCCTAGCGTCCGGTTACCATTCCATGTCGGGTATGGAATTATTTAGCCAGTTTTACGATGCATGATGGAGGAAGCCATAACTGCCCAGCGATTACGTGAACTACTCTACGACGACGAGAAGTACAAAAATCCTCTAGCACATAATTATCCCCCCCCCCACGAGATTCGAACCCACGCTGGTTAATCAAAGGTGCTGGGGAAAGCTATTCCTAACACTTAGCACGATGGGACATACCGCTGGGGCATTTAATTTTTATACAGCATTTCTACTTGCCATTTGCTTCGAAAAAAACTCTGCATAAGCGTTCACTGATATTCATAGAGCTACTAATATTTGAAAGAACCGGAATCCATCTGGTTTACCATTGCCTACCCAATTTAGTACACCCTAGGTTAGATGGTTGGCATAGGATTGATCCAGAGATTTGTAAACAAGGTTTCCGAAAAATACCAATTCCGTTTTGGCAAAGAGATTGATAAGCACTGCCAGCTGCCAACAAATTGAACATGGAAAAACCAGACCAAGATCTAAAGATAAGGATTTTACATATTTATCCAGAGGGAGAGGAAAGTCTATAAGACGGCCTAACCATATGGCGAACCATGGCCTCTTGTCCGGTTACCAGTCCATGTCGGGTATGGGATTAGTTAGTTATTTGTTTTCGGAAGCATGGACGGAAGTCTAGGATTAGGAAATCATACTTAGGGCTGGGTCCATCCCAAGACTTTAATTTCTCCTGTCTTGTTAAAACCCCTCGTCTATTCTCCGGTGTTTTTGGTCTCATTCTTAGCGTTGAGGTTCGAGTTTGAGCCACAGGGGTCGTAGGTCGAGCTTGTGCTCTGCTTGGTCGAGGAAGTGTCTCACTTCTTGGGGTCACAGGCCGTTGTTTCAATGCTGATCGCGGTGTTGTTGATGTGTGCGGTGTAGTTGGACGTTTGGTGCTGAAAAATAAATATTTTAAAATCAATAAAAATAGTAAACGAGACTATCGGTTGGAAACCGAAGACTTATCGATCGATAGTTAGGGGATCCCCCAAAACAGAAACTGCGGTTTCGATTCACCCGCTCTTGTAACTTGCGCACTGCGCATCGCACACACACACTCGGCGGATCTCAAAGTTCTCTCGCTTCACAAAAATCTAGATCACTTGGTCAATGATTAATTAATAACTTGCTAATTATACGACATGATTCATTCAAAATCAATAGGCTTCTGGTCCGACATATGATGAATGCACATGCAAAATCTGGAGCAGATTCAATCTTGCTTTCGTGAGATTTCGCGTGCATCTAACAGACAGACATACAGACAAATAACCTATCAACATACTTACCGATTCAAATCGATAAGTAATAAGAATACTCTCTTTCCACAAAATATATTTGTAATCTTTCATTAGATCATACTATAACTTCTTCAGACAAAAAAAAAATAATAACAGGAAGACTGTTCACTATTATTATTCGTAGATATCTTTCTATATAACTTAAATAAGCAAAAATTGGAATAAAATTATGGCCTAACCCTAACCTGGTACACACACTACGTTCCGGTGTCTGCCACTATGGTTTATATACTTTGGGAGTATCCATTTAGACATATATTTTTAAAACACTTCTTACTTGTATTTTGAAGGTCGAGGCTTCCCATCTTCTGTGAATAACATCGCTCGAACTTCATCAGTCAAACTGTTTCCTTTCCTACGATTTCCATCTCTGAATGAATGGATACAACAATTGAAAAATATACATTCTGGCATATTGACATACTGATCGATTCTGACAAGCCACGCTTGGTTGATTTTTGGGTGTGTTTTGATTCTGCCACTTTTTATGAGGGTTGCACTGTTTACACCACACAGTAAAAACATTGATTGACATTTGTAAACTTAGATTTGTGGTCAAAATTGGAATGTGTGGAAAATTTCCATATTACATTACACAAAGTATCAATTCAAAAATCCTTTCAATAAGGATGAGAGCTGAAATTTTTCTGGGTGAAATATTCCGTTAGAGAAATTTTCTATAGGTGAAACTTTCTGAAAGTCATAAGCATAGTCAAATTTATTTTTTCCAGTCCAGTATATTATAAAACTATAATAAATGAAAGCAGAAGAAAAAGCTGAGCTCATAATATTACTGGAGAAGGGAAGGGTAACCAAAGCTTCTTTTCAATAAATTTTCTGGGTGGAATTTCCTGGTACAGCTAAAACAAGGCAAATTTTGTCAAAAAATTAAAATGTAAAAAATTCAATGAAACTTACATGGACGATCTTGTAGATCCCATAGAACTGGATGAAGTGGAGCCAACCTCATTCTTCGGTCTATAATTATGACTCGCAACCTGCAACTCTCTCGCTGTGCTGATCCGGTTATTTACCGGCGTAGATGTTCGAGCTGGTTTCCCAATCGTTATTTGCGCTTTACTGATACGGCTGTTAGAGGGTGGGGGGTTCCTATTCCCTGGACTGATAGCTGAAAAACATAATTTTACTGATTTTTTTTTCAAATATTAAGACAAAGATAAAATAGGAATAGTTTTATTTTCATCCACCCATAAGAGAGATAGCTGAACGGATAAATAGACCGATATTTTGTGTGTGTGTGCATCTAGGGAGAACACTGATAAAATGGTTTAACCATAAGCCTGCAGTTGCTGGTCAATTTCAGGAATGAGAATAGTTAACCAGTTAGTAGTTCCAGATGCATGGTCTGATTAGGTGTTGCATTAACCACCCTCTGAGGGCAAGGGGTCAAGCAATCCTCTTGAACACAAATATTCCTCACAGATTTGAAGCTGCAAACCCATGCAGGGCAATCAGTAGTGCAATGCCAAGGGTGATCTTAACACTTAGCATGATGCACAAACATCAAAATGATAAGGCCTCTGGTCTGAGTACCAGTCAATGTCTGGTACAGTGATATTTAACCAGGCGGGTTATGTGTACCATTCCACTGTGTGAATCGATCAGTGGTCATGCTTAGCACGATAAGTAAATCATCATGGCCTATTTCTGCGATGATAGGCAAGAATATTTTAAAACAAAAATAATGGAAAAGAAAAATGAATATCCAACATTCGGATAGGGGCATTCCTATTATAATTTTCATCCACCCTCATACCTGATGACTCAGATGAGGATGATCCTTTCCTTAAGGATGACCTAAGCGGTTTTTCACTTCGACTCGATCTCGGAGAGAGTTGATCTTTGTAAGGACTCATTTCAATGTATTCCTGACTTTGTTCGATACTTGTATCAGTGTGCTCCCACTGGTGGTGACCCTCAGGATTCCGAACGACCTTGCAAAGCAAAATACAATATTAAAACTTTTTCACAGATTTATAAGTGAGATGATACTACTACTGTAGACATGGAAGATTCTGAATGCCTTTGAAACCTTAAATATATTTATGAATATGGCCCTAATGGTGGTGACCGACAATATTGAATATATCAGAGGTGTGCAATCTTTAGATGCAAATGACTGGGTGAAACCACGGGCTGCACCTTTATTTAAGATGGGCTTTCCAGTAGTTTCCAGTAGTTTCAAAAATTTAGTTATTGATCATACGACATGCGCTGTTCGCTTTGCACAAGTTAGTTGTCATGGCATTGTAATCTTAGGGTTCCATTACATTTGAACCCATGACAATTGCACCTGTATGCTATTGCACCTATGGAATTTTTTTTGTTTCACGGATAGTTAAACCCATACTAACCCTAACCCATGGGTTTTAGCACCCGCATATAGATTGAACCCGTGGATATACGCATGGGTTCAAATGTACATGGGTTCAAATGTACGGTCACCTAATCTTAGGCATACATAATAAATTGAATTCAGGTATTGGCTTTGCGTGAAGGGATTGTAATTACTCGCATGAACCAGATTTAACAGAATTAAAAATTCGCTTCGCGGGCCGCATATCTTTTAAGATTCGCACAATTTTTTCTTGTTAGCCGCAGGTTGCACATCCCTGGAATATATGATTAAATGCTAAACTATTGGTGACATTAACAGTTGTGACTTCAAGGGTTTTGAACAATCTTAAAAAATGAAGGATAGGATTTCTCTTAGAAATGGTGACAAATTTACGAACAAATATAAATATATATGGCTTATGGCTATTAGCCAACAACAAACAAATAAAAAAGAAGAATTTTGAAAGAATAAATTTATGGACATACATGTATTACTTCTTCTTTCGATACTTTCCGTTTCGGTGGAGCTTTTAGATGTGAATCGTTAGGTTTCCGTCGATCAATTATTTTGGGAGTATGTGCAGGGTGACCACTAGATGGCGAATCGAGCTCATCTCCACCACTATCGGGTGTCCAAGAGTACGATACTCGGGATGATGGTGATTCAGGTGAACCAGTCATACTGACACTCAACCTGTCAAAAATGAGAGATTTATTGGTTTTGTGAATTCCTACACACAAAAAGGCTTTTCTCTGCACTTGTTGTCACATTGTGCTATGCAACAGGCAAGCGTTTGCAAATAAATGTCTGATTCATTGACATCCAGGAATCAGAGGGCCCTAGTCAAATATTCAAACTCATAGTTTTTTTTTGTATATGGACCAGAGCCTAGGAAGGCAGATGCACATGTGCATCATATAATGCAGAAAACACATGATGATTTAGATCAGGTTGGTCCAAACCCAGGCCCGCGGGCCACATGTGGCCCGCCGATTTATTATCTGTGGCCCGCGTCACATTCGGAGAGTAATTAAAAAATCGCCGATCGTGTTGTTTCGTAATCAAATTAATCTGAAAAATCTTTTGACATATTGTTACATCAATAATGTCACTGAATTGAGTAGTGTTATGGCTAGCTGAGACAACTAGCAAAGTTGAATGATTTGCTTGGCAGTCTACTCTAAACTATTATCTGGCTTTCTATCTTTTTGGTCGGGAATATATGCTTACAATATAGGCATCATGGAAAACTAAAAATCGAATGCGGATTCTATTAGCTCGGGATGGCTATGTCTGATAACTATGTGTTTGCACAATAAAAGTGTTTGTTTTGTATTGCACTGTTTACCTATTCTTAGCACTATTGTGGCCCGCGAACAATGCAAAAATAATTTGGTAGCCCGCGAAGCGGACAACCCCTGATTTACTGATTTAGATTGTACACGTCAAGCTTAATCACATGTTCAGCTTTCTTTCCAGATGTCCTTAAACAGTTTTCAGCTCTGGCCAATCCAGGAACTCCAAAAGAATGAATAAAAAGATGATTAGGGATATTTACCTCAAACTACTTGCTAGAGCGGAATCTCTCGACGGTGAAGGTGTTGACCCCACAGATGACCCTTGACTTTTATATGACCTTTTCTCAGGCTCGTTGCGATTGATTCGTAATCGTAGATCTGATGGAGTGATTGGTTGTTGCTGATGAGCGCTGAAAAAGAGAGTTAGGTTTCGAATTCTATCATATTATTATGTTAGAACAAAATTTGGTACTTCCATAGTGTGCACCAGGTTAGGGTTAGGCCATAATTTTATTTCAATTTTCATTATTTTATTTCGATTACGAGATCGGGGACTGTCTGTGTTTGAGAAATGAATATACCCCTGCCCATGGGTTTCAGTCCCTTTACACAACTTGATGTAAATCAGACGAACAAAATTAGTTACCTCCATATTGGTACACATACTTCCTGAGTGCGAAATTTACATTTTATTTGTCACGTAGGCATAAATGTGTAATCAGTAATCAGTAGTTTATTTTTTCATCATGCTGATAATATACCTTGTAGGAATTTCGTATTGAAGCAAGAATGAAAAAATGGCATATCAGGGTGGAGAGTGGGCCAAACAACCAATGGACCTTTCCCCGACCTTTGACCCCCGAAAAATTCATCCTATACTTTACCATTGCAAAATTTTCGGGGCTATTTTAAGAGTGCTTTTGCGAGTTGGCGCCTTAAAATGGGGTATGTGTTTCAAACCATCATTACGATTCATCGCACACAACAATCTGTTTTTTAAAAGTACCGATAAAGAATTTTAGCCTAGTCTATCACAGCTATTTCTACACTAATTTTTTATAACTGCAATTAAATTAAAACTCCTAAGAAGACAGAGTGGTATTGTTACGTCACTTTTTGCATCCTGCTGATTGGGCAATGTCACGAAGTAAACAAGGAAGTCGGTGCTCGGAGAAAGGTCCATACTGGTTAACAGGCAAGGTCCATACTGGTTAACAGGCACCCGTCAGTATGTCTTACAGTAATTTACACACAAGTAGAGAAAGAAGTCGAAACTTGAATATTTGGAACATTATGTCAAAGAATCTAATTCAATACACGCAAAATACCGCCAGCGCTCCAGAAGTGCGTGTACCAATATGGAGGTAACTAATTTTGTTCGCCTACTTTACATCAAGTTGTGTAAAGGGACTGAAACCTATGGGCAGGGGGATATTCACTTGGCTAAGATAGACAATCCCGGGACTCGTAATAGAACTAAAATCTCCCCCCTACTAGCTAAATACCATACAGAATTCCTACCTCTGAGAGCTGGTATCGCTACTGGTGCTGCTTTCACGAATCAACTTTGCATGATCGTGATTGGAATGATGTGGTTCCACTCTTGGTGAATCTGGCCTGAATAGAGAAAATAAATGTTTTTTTTTTCCCTAGAAACATTCAAAATATCTTATTTTTAGAACGAAATGGAATCCCGATTTCGTTTAAAACTGACTGCTACTTGGCTATTTATCGAAAATTCAAATCAATTCATCATATTCAATCATTTTAATTTTTAATTCGAGGAATAATTCAGAATTGCCTCATTCAATCAAATCATGTATATGTTAATTTTTTCAAATTTCCTGATTTGGATTCATTGAATATACTACATTGACTTCTGCATGCCTTTTGGTTGAGCGCTAAAATATTATTTCAGATCACAAGTCCATACTTTCAAAAACAAATAACTGACTAACTAATCCCATGCCCGACATGGACTGGTAACCGCACGAGAGGCCGTGGTTCTCCATATGATTGAGATGTCTTATCGTCTTTCCTCTGCCTCGGAATAAATATGTACGGTAAATCCTATTTTATCTAGATCACATTGAAATTGTAGAATATCAGTCCTGGTCATCTCTGATAAAAAACTTTCCAATTTATAGAAATGACCTCTAACCTTTGAACTGTGTTCCTCTGCACAACATGACTTCCTTCTCCCTTTCTTTCAACCAATAGGACGTCTTCATCCACTATGTTGCTTTTTGTCTTGTTCTTGGGAGCCGTTTTTGGTCGACTTAACCTGGTAATATAATGAAAATGTTAAAATGGCATACCAGGGTGAAGGAAGGGCCAAAAGAACAATACCGGATGTCGGGCAGTGACACCCGTGGCTATGCCTGATAGTAATTAACATGTAAAGAAAAAAAGTCGAACATAAGTTATTAAAAAAAAATCATGTCAAAGAACCTAATGGTTCCGTTAAATGGAACCGTTAACAGCATATATTTCATCGTTCACATCAGCGGATCCCAAATTTGATTGACTGAGTCCAAAATTAGAAGTGGAAGGATATTCACGGGTCAGGAGAGAGAAGCTTCGCAACGTGCCGATATCAACGCCTATTATGATACTGGTATAATTGAATTCAATTAGGATAGGATTTACATATTTATCCCGGGGGAATGGAAAGCCGATAAGACGGCTTATCCATATGGCGAACCACGGCCTCTCATCCGGTTACCATTCCAAGTCGGGTATGGGATTAGTTTTTACTGTATTGTTTGTTTTCGGAAGCATGGACTTGGAATTCGAATATATAATCGAATATAATGATTATATATATATGAATACGGATATAAACGGGCTTAGCCTGTGATAATCACGTTACAAGTTCGACTTAACTTCAGTTCGGCGAGCCATATTAAATCGTTGTGTGGGCCGTAACTGGTCCGTATTTGGATCGCGGTTTGGGAACCACTGGCTTACACAAAACAAGAGAGCAATGCTAAAATACAGTACAGTGATGCCTCAAATCATGGAAAGTGTCTGACTTTTATCAAAACAAAACAGCAAACTTTTGGATAAATTACTGAAAACTTTGCGTGTATTTTACTCATTTAGTATTACTGTGATGTCCATTTATGTGCACTTTGTACTATTTGATAGGGGTCCAGGGTATGGCAGGTAGGGCTCTTGCCATGGGCGGCACACTCCTGTTGGATAGGGACACAAAGCAACCACCCATTGCAAAAATAATTTAGTCAACTTCATTCAATGGAAGACGAATGTTTACCAAACTTTTATTATTCTTTTTTCAATTGTTATACAACAATAGCATATTGTGTTTTCATAATAAGATACATTACAATAGAGAGTTGACCCAAAGATTGTCATCATAGACTGTTTGAGGCCAAATGAAAAATTATACTAAAACCACAGGATTATATTAGTTTATTTCCATAAGCTTGCCTATGAGCCTTTAGTTGAATAAAACCAAAAAAAAAGGTAAAAAAACTGTAAATCTAATATCCTGCAAAAATTACCTTTCAAAGAACATATTCCTCTGTGTAACACTTGGACTAGGTGTTGATAACTGCTTTGGCAGGTTGTCCATAGACTGGGAACGATTCTTAGTGTTTAATCTGAGAAAAAGATGAAAAATTACCTGTTGAAGTCCAAACAAAATATCCTAGATATTTGAGCACATTCAAAATCACATATACATTTTATCAGCGGTATCAAACATAATGTCTTTTCATGTGGCGTGACTAAAAAAGGTGTGGAAACAACTGATAAAAAGAACATCTGGGAGAATAAAATTGGCTGTCAAATATCATAAATATTGACACTGACATCGGTGAGAGGTTAATTTAGTACAAAATATTTTTATCTGCCTAGCTATTTTAATCTCATTCATTAGCTGTTAACTGTTATATTGCTTGTACTAACCTAGACTTGATCAGAAGGCAATTGTCAATAATATGACTATCAGCCCGGCACTGTCCCGAAACAAATTTTTGCTAACTCCTTCACTTTGGAAAACAATCTGTATAATTGTCCAATTAAGGATAGGATTTACATATTTATCCCGGGGGAGAGGAAAGCCGATAAGACGGCTTATCTATATGACAAACCACGGCCTCTCGTCCGGTTACCATTCCAAGTCGGGTATGGGATTAGTTTTACTGTATTGTTTGTTTTCGGAAGCATGGACTTGGTGGTGGAGGAAGCCGTAACCGACCAGCGGTTACGTGAACCACCCAACGACGGTGAGGAGTCCAGCAATCCTCTCGCACATAACCATCCCTGCATGGGATTCGAACCTGCGAACCCACGCAGAGTAATTAGAGGTGTGGTGGCGAGCGTATTCCTAACGCTTAGCCCGTTGAGCCACACCGCCGCGCTAAGAAGAAGCTAATCTATTTTAGGAGCGGACCATACCAGTAACCAGGTAAGAGACAATCTTCTCTCCTTTAGATTATTATTGCTTTTGCTTTATGCTGTGTCAAACAGCATGGTTATCTGGGGTTCTGCCATGGCTATCTTGAGAAGAAGTTGCACATGGAAATACACCCTTCTAATTAGTTTTTCTCAATGATATATAAAAATCCAAACCACGTAAAATTATGTATATCCTAATAATGAAATAATGCTTTCTAAAACTTTAAAAACCCTTCCAATTTAATTCCTGAAAACATCAACTAGCAACTATATAAGAGATAGTAGTAGTTTATCTTTCATCTTTTCTCTCCCTAAAACAAAATCCAACTGTAGTATGCAAGATAAAATAAGTACGGTAATGCCAGGCTTCGAGACCAATAGCTAAATATTACTTAAACAATGAAATTCCCCTCGCAAAAATAAATAAAATATGCCAAACCAGACTACCGTCCTCATAAGAAACAATCTTTTATTCATCTTTCCTCTCTCTCGAAATATAAATATTAAATCCTAAGCTGTGCAACAGTATCCCATAAAGAAAAAAAGGGGCTCCCGAAGTATGCGAACCAAGATGGCGGACATTGGAATGTAATATGTGTACTAGGTTAGGGTTAGGCCATAATTTTAGGTATAAATACTACGGGAGGCTCTTGGATAGTCTTCGAACTGATAGGACTAAAATAAGGAAAAATGGAAAAAAATTATCGCCTAACCCTAACCTGTTACCCATGTTACGTTCCGATGTCCACCATCTTGGTTCGCATACTTCGGGAGCACCGAAAAAAATCCTTTCTCTCGAAATACAAATATGAAATCTTATGCTGTGCAATACAGCATCCTAAGAAAAAAGAAATTTCTAAAACTACAGTCACTAGCTAAATAAAACCTCAATAATAAATTCCTCAAACTCTCACAGACAGAATTACAATCCATTACGCATAAAATGATTGTAAAACAGACAACCTTGGTTTACAGAATCATAAAAGAAGAATTATTTGAAAAAGTGTTACCATTCAATTTTTTGATAATTTTTGTTCTCTTTGGTACCAAATTACTTATACAATTTTGTAAATATAACTGTTAAATTATTAGAAATTCAAAAATCAATGATTAAAGCTTTAAGTATAGTCCAAATTCATCTAAATTTCATTAAAAATTAGACTACGCTTTTTAAAAGTGAACACTATGATGGGTTAGTCATTATAAGTTGGAATTCCTTATTCTGATTTGCTATTGTAACCACACAACAAAAAAATGTTATCTTCGAACAAGCCTGATTCAATGATAAATAATCAAAATTCTCCAAAACTTATCCATGTATCGTACTCGATCAAAATCAAAATATTTTGAAGTGTTGCAGCCCTCATTTGACTACTTATAACGCCATCTTGCCCTGACTTGTTAGGAGTTGTATAAATATTGTTGGTATTGGTAAAATACCATTTAAAAGGCCAGTTATGTTTGTTTAAGACTTCAGGAGTAGGTCTTGTGTTAGGAAAGTTATCAAATACTTGACGATTGATTATTATTTCATTTTAAATCAAATATTTGTTTGAATAAGAATTCTTGGAGCGTGACTGCCCTAAAGTGGCGAGGATGTAACTAAAACGAACGCAAAATAACTGGTAAGGAAAGTCACAACTGATAAACTCATCTATCTAGTTTTTTTTATAAGAAGAGTTTTGAGTTTCTCACTTTAAACAAGGCTCTGAACAAGCACCCACTGATACCTAAGAAGCTGTGCCAGTATTATAACCAGAACCTCTCCAGTTTGCGATTATCTACCCAATTCATCACACCCTGGCAAGGATTAGAGGAAATTGAGTAAGCAATACGAAACCATGAAGATTCAACCTTCACTTATCTTTGCATAAAATTGTCACCTTTGCTCTCCCTCCTAGATAACTATAAAATCTCATCATATCTTGACATACTTTTGCATAGAATTGTCTTCTCAACTTCCTATTGAATTATTTGCAGTGGGTGATAAATATGCCACTTTATCAGCATTCCTATCCCCCTCCAAACACAAAATCTTATTCTATCAGACTTACCTTCGCATAGTATTATTTGCACTCTTTGATAATTATACAGATTAAACATTTTTTTCCACTTTATTTGCTCCCCCCCCCCCCCCCCTTCAAATACAAAATCACCAATCTCCACCATCTTAACCTTGATTTACTTTTGCATATACCCTCTCATCAGCTTTCCTCTCCCCATCCAAACACAATATCAGCCTATTTAGACTTACTTACCTTTGCATAGAATTATTTGCAGTGGTTGAAGCCACAGTTTTTCTTCCTTGATTCTTTGCATTGTTAGTACTGGATGGCACAGTGGAAAGATTGCTCGTTGAGGAATAGATTCCAAGAGCTGATTTTGGACGTGCTGGTCTCGAATCACGGATATCCTGAAAAAAGACAAATTATAACATTTGAGTGAACATCAAGCCAAAAAGTTTGGGATAGGTTTTAAATTTTCTATGTATCCCGACGAGAAATGAAAGTCAATCAGACGGCTTGATCATTGTCTTCTCTACTGGTTACTGTCCAGTTCAGGTATAAGAATAGTTAAGCCAGATATTGTTCCCAAATTTACAAACTTGATGGTGGAAGAAGCCGTAACTGATCACAAGAAAAGAAAGTCGATAACATGACTCAATCCTATGGCGAATCACAGCCTTTTATCCGATCACCAGTCCAGTATGAATATAGGAATGGTTAATCAGTTATTTTTTCCTGTCTCATAGACTATGGTGGTAAACGTAAACCAATTCTTCAACATAATCATCTCCACATGATTTCGATGTGTGAACCTATACAGGAACAACCTATGGCGCGATGACAAAATGCAATAAACTGACATTCATTACAATGCAACAACCATTGAGTATTTCGAGACCTTTGTGTAATGAGGCAAAAATGATAACCCCAAATAACAATCAGTTTTCTTTTTATAAGTAACCTATGACCTTTTAATGACCCTAACATATAATTTTCACCCCATAACTTTGCGATGAGAATATTGGTTCTTTGCTACATTACAATGCAACAACCATTGAGTATTTAGAGACCTTTTGTGAAATGAGGCAAAAATAATGACCCAAAAAAATCATGAATTTTTCTCAACAATTTTTATAAGTAACCTTTGACCTTTTAATGCCCCTAACATATAATTTTCACCCCCATAACTTTGTGATGAGAATATTGATTCATTGCTTAGCTATTAGCTGACTGCAATAAATGCTTGTCCATATCCTTATTTGAAGTGAGCACATTATAGTCCCCATGTTATTCCTACCTGCATACTCTTGTGATGTGAGCTTCCTCTGGTTACTGACAGGGTTGTTGATTTTCTTCCAGAATCTGAACGAAAAAAAAATGTATTGAATGCTAATTCTCACAAGGATTCTCCAGAACATGATTTTTTGCAAAAAATTGCGACAACAAAAATTTTTAAAGTGGCATGTCACAATGCAAAATTTCGAACTGATTTGCTACAACGCTAATTTTCACAAGGATTCGCAACAATACAAATTTTCACAAGGATTCGAGACAACGCATATTTTCACAAGGATTTTCCAAAATATGAATTTTCGCCAAAAATTGTCACAAAAAAGAATTTCAAAGTGATCCGCCACAAAGCAAAATTTACTGTAGTTACAACAAATAGAACCTGAGATGGAGCACAATCGCAACAATATTCTTGGTGTAAAAGACTCATGATGATATTAGTCTCTTCGCATGTACACACCATCGCAGTGAATTCTGGTATCCAAATATGTTATGTCCTAATTCATTTATGAATTCATGTATGATATGGTGGAATAAATTTATTGTTTGTTCATCATCTCTATGCACCCAAATGTAAATGTCCAAAATAAGGAGAGTAAGATCAAATCTAACAAATATTTTTATTTTCAATTAGCTTCACGCCCCTTCAAAAAATTGTCTACGCGTCCCAGTCGTTTGAAAATTGTCTATGCCTCGCTTGCGGGCCGCCCCCAGCGTTTGAGAACCACTATATTAGATCTACACCTACCAACTTCATCATCCCTATGTATAGCCATTGCAGAGGAAGGTCGCGGTAATGAGTTATATCTCCTGTCTGTTGAAGCTGATCTTCTATCAGTGTTTGTTGATCTCGGCGTTAACGGGCGAGAGTTTGTTGTTTCCAGTTTTGGGTGTTTCTCAGTCGTTTTGTAGTTTCGAGGTAGCGTTTCGGAGTTTCTGAAGGGTGCAAAATTGATACATCTGAGTTTAAGACCAACCCCATGTCTACCATTTCATCTAGGGCAGAGGTGGGCAAGATTTTCAGACCAACAGCCAAAAAATTTTCTCATCTACACTGGCGGGCCATGTACGTGTGGCGTAAAATGTTACATTTTATTATTATGAAGTGTTACAAAAGCAGAAGTGGAAAACAATAAGCCTCGTACTAAACTAAATTTATTCGCAATCTCAACAAATTCATTGAACTATTTTCCAGATAAAATATCAATATTTGGTTTTAGTTTGGTTGTGGCAGGTAAACCAAATTGAAATACCCAACGGGCCGGATTAGGCCCACAGGACATAGTTTGCCCTTGTCAGACCTGGGGTGTGATAAAATACGCAATGCTAAACCTAAATATCTCAGCCCTTCACAAAACCAGGTAGCGCATCAGTGAATACCTATCCAGTGCATTGTTCAAACCACAAATGTGACTCGCCTCATAAAAATAATGATTGAGCCATCTCGTGAGCTTTCCTCACTTTATATTAATTAAGAAAACAAAACTGAAATAAGTTAAGCAAATGATAAACAGAAGTTATTCATATTAACCTGTACGAAGACGGTGGACCTTTGGTCCCTCTAGTGGTTGATTTTCTTTTCTCCTCTATTGTACTAGTACGTAGCATTCTGTCTGGATCTGGGCTTTTTGATCGAGATACACTAAGAGCCGCTCGGCGCTCTGAGGTCGACGTGGGGGTAGGGGTCACGGAGCGACGGGGTGGGGAGTACTCATGTGACAAGGCACTCGTTGAAGAGGAACGCAGGTTTCCAGGAGTTGGGGTTTTGCTTCTTCGCTCAGTTGGACTTTTCGGGGGTGATTTATTCCCCCCGGGTAATGATAAATTATTTTTTGAAGTTCGTAAATTTCCACTTTTTGAGTCTCTTGATCCAGGATAGGTATTATTTAAATCAGAACTGCTGGATTTTGTAATTTTGATTTCTGGGTTATTACTTTGCCGTTTATTGTCTGTACTGTACCGAGAGAGAGATTTTGACCCTCTATCTGGGGCTGGGGACCTGCTCCGAGCCCTGTTCTGGGGTGCATGCCTTGGGTCAATGTATGATGCATCAACATCAAAGTATTCCATGATATCGTTTCTATGGTTACTGTTCTGGTTCATTGCTTCTGAGGTTCTATTTGTGCTTTTTGATTTCCGGCTTTCTCGTGGTGTTGAACTTTCATCCCTGACCTTTGATCCTCGACCAGGCGACACAGTGGACATGGTGTTGTTGAAACCGGGCAAGCTCTGGCTTTTGATGTTGTTATTGCTAGAATAAATGGCACTTGTTAAACGTTTAGATAACGGTCAGGATTATTGGACCTCCAGAAGGATGCGCACCAAGATGGCGCACAACCTGAACATAGTATGTGTGTACCGGTTGGGATTCAGGTTGTGCGACATCTTGGTGCACATACTTCTGGAACACCGGATTGTTGAAACTCAGCAATCAGGTTTTAAGTGAGAATAGGATTTTTATATTAAATGAACAAAGATGTTCATCCTGAGCAGAAATACGTATTTTTGTGCACTAGTAAAAATACCAGTGGAGGTGAGACATGAAAAAGACACCCACACTGTACAAAAAAGTGAAGCAAAAAATCAGCATTTGAGATCAAAGAAAGGCACGAAACACTAATACTGGTTATCGGACAGTGACACAGGGTTAATGAGCTATGAAGAAACTCAAGGTGAAATCATGGATAAGGTCACATACCTCCAGTCATCCCTGCTTTTTCTTAACTCTGAATTTCTAGGTTGACTCAAACCACCACTGCTCCCACCACCACCAGTTCCTGCTTTGTTCATGATCTCTGCTGCTTGCTTTGCGTTGAGGCTTGACCTGTTAACATTGGGAAATATATTAAAAATCATGAATGTTTATAATTCACAAGGTGGTGATAGAGACTAGCAAACACATTTTCGCAACAATGTACAAAAAATTATTTTGAAATATGACAGGCGAAGACTATTAATATAAAACCTTAAATTAAGAATTATTTCCTTTTTCAAATCTCAATATTTACAATAGCCATTGATATAAAAGTACCGAAGACGAAAAGCATTTGTGAAACCTAAAATATAAGTGAGAAATGCAGACCCAAGCATTTAGCAATTTTAATTTATTACATTTCTTGTGGACTGTGGTATTTCGAAAAGCCTTGAAATGTTTCATTCTTGATAATAGGCCTATTAATGTTCACCCTGATTATTGAATTTCAAATCATTAAAATCTATTTTAGTAGTAAAGATTTCTGGTTGATTAAAATTATTCATTCTAACTTAGTATTATTCATATAATAATCAATGTAAAATGAAATGAATTTCCATAAAAAAGTGGTGTAAAATTATGAAATCAGTGATTATTATTTCACACAAAAATGAACAAATCAAAGATTGCAAACTTTATATTTTTTTGGCAAAAAATTAGATAAATTAGATAACTTAATGTGATCACAAAACATAGATTAGATTTCATATATACGCAAAATAAAAAAGGTTACAGTAGCGCTCAAGTTAAACAAAGATATACATGTTCCCTCGCCGGGAACACTGGGTTATGTGACTAGGTAGTGAGCTCGATTTGTTAAAATGCATGTTCAAATAGTCTGGAGTCGTATTGCACTAAATAGGATAGGATAGGATAGGATTTACATATTTATCCCGGGGGAGAGGAAAGCCGATAAGACGGCTTATCCATATGGCGAAACACGGCCTCTCGTTCGGTTACCATTCTGAGTCGGGTATGGGATTAGTTATATTGTTTGTTTTCGGAAGCATGGACTTGGTGGTGGAGGAAGCCGTAACCGACCAGCGGTTATGTGAACCACCCAACGACGGCGAGGAGTCCAGCAATCCTCTCGCACATAACCATCCCTGCATGGGATTCGAACCTGCGAACCCATGCAGAGTAATCAGAGGTGCGGTGGCGAGCGTATTCCTAACGCTTAGCCCGTTGAGCCACACCGCTGCGTAAACATCCCCAGTAAAATCTGAGTTGCAAGGCCAAATAGTGAAATCAGTGGAGCAAATATAAAAAGTGTTTCTCATAATACTTGATACGTATCTCAATCTAATTCAAGAAATGGTCAAGTCAAAGATCAAGTTTGCAATGCTTGATAATAAATGTAGCTGTGATCAAAAGGGTGCCCGAAAACACTAATATAAGTCGCAAATAGTAAGTCGAAATATTAATTAAAAGAAGTTAGAATACTATCATCCATACAAAAAAATTGTCACTGCAAACTTTGAGTGTGCAAACCAGGAACCTCCTGAAGTATGCACACCAAGATGGCGCACAACCTGAACTCAGTTGTGTACCAGGTTAGGGTTCAGGTTATGCGACATCTTGGTGCGCATACTTCAGGAGTACCTAGAACAGCAATCTCTAAGTTGAGCAGATCTATTCAACAAAGTAAAGTTGAACAATTCTAAACAGTACATTGGATCAATGTACTTCAGTGAGGTTATGATTTAATTACTGATTGTGTTGTTATTGTATTATTAACACACAAAAAACAGATAAAACTAGGTGAGTACACATCCTAATGATTAGTAAGAAACGGTGTCTCAAAATATGATAGGATTTAAATATTTATCCCAGGGGAGGAGAGCCCCAAATCATAACCATGTACGGCCTCTCGAACCGGTTACCAGTCCATGTCGGGTATGGGATTAGTTAGCCAGTTATTTTGTTTTTAGACGCAAGGACAGGAAGGCAGAGAAAGTTGTAACCGGCCAGCGGTTATGTGAACCCTAGTGCCATGAAGAAAACCGAGACAGAATATTATTGTGACATTGAGTAAAAAACTGGTAACACAAACCAAAAAACAGAGACGTGCTAAGATATTTTAAATAGGTGCTCAGTGGTGTTTTTTAAATTCAAATTATTTGCACACCTGATAACCACAAGAGAAAACTAGTAAATTATTTAACTTAACAATAAACAAGAAATAAAAAAACTGGCTCAATTCTGTCTTATTCCAAATTTTGCAAGCAAGTGCTGCAGTCTTCACGTTTATGACCATGTTACAAGGAAAAAATTGCCGAAATTGTAAAGTCTAAAAAAAGACAGAAAATCATAAATGTTGTTTGATTATTCATTATAACAAATAGTCGAATGAAAGCTTTTAAAATTTAGGCCAGAAATCTAATTTTATCATAATTTTGAAACAGTCTGTCCTAATATGGGATATGAATGAAAATTTTGAAAGTGGCCACCTTGATCAATTGGTCTAAACTTAAAATTTGTCTAGCTTTCCGATATTTTCTCAAAAATGATTTGTTTCCAAAATGCAGCACTTCCTTCTTATATCAATTAGATTCTACTTTTTACAATCATCAAAGCTAGCTCTTTCACTATTTATATATACCGGTATATATTTTAATAGAAATGTGTAGAAGCCTATTCTAAACCAGGATATCTCGGTAGAAATAATCATAAAAATGTGGAGAAATTGAAATCAAAAATGATTTGTGTTTTTTCTACAAAACAGTATTTACTTGTCCTTGAGTAATTTTCCAAAATATTCGTTCGTCGAACATTTAAACCTGGAACGAAATTTCATTGATCCAAAATAAAATAGAAATAAAAGAATTATTAAAATAATAAAATATAACATGACCTGAAATAAAACATACTTTTAGTTTTAAAAATTAGTGAATTGTATTTGCATATTGAAACTATAGACAAGAAACACCCTGACATGACAATATATAAAAAATTTAATGAAACCCAATATGGGAACAGGACAGCATTTTCATATTTCTACCAAGGGAATAGAAAGCCAATCAGACGGCTTTATCATAAGGCAAACCACTATCTTTCGTCTGGTTACCAGTCAATGACGGGTGCGAAGATAGACAGCCAGTTATTCGTTTCTGATGTATGAATCTGGAATGCATTTATGGTAATCTATCGAAAATTCTGCACATTCCTCATAACTGAATTAAGTACTTGAAACTTCAAATTTTAAATATAGTGTACAGAAACGCGAAAAAAAGTTTAATGAAGGCAGCTGACCCTCAACTAAAAAATAGAGCAAGTTCGAATTAACCAAATTATAAGAAAGAATAGGATTAAACAGTCTAACCAAATACTAGTGTTGTTTCCTCACGAAGTATGATTTTTCCAAGCAAAATCGCTCAAAAATAAATTAGATTTCTCTCAAAGGTACAGAACACCACTGAAGTGACAAGACATACTGAACTATATTAAATCATGGTATAAACTTGTAAAAACCAATTGAAACCGAACTCTAAGAATCGCACTCAATACTTAAAAAATGGACCTGAAGTATGCGCACCAAGATGGCGCACAACCTGAACTCAGGTTGCGTACCAGGATAGGGTTCAGGTTGTACGATATCTTGGTGCGCATACTTCAGGAGTACCTAAAAAATTATTATCTGAACAAAATACTTAAATGTAACATCAGGTATGAATGTCACATCTAAAAAAAACTCACACAGTAATGCATCTAGAGATATCTGCCTACATTGCGACTGTTACTAGCAAAAGACATGCCCCTATCAAGTCGATAACAAGAGTAACATACTAATTTATCGAAATGAAGAAAGAGAAAAAGTTAAGATGGATTAAGTTGATCTGTGTTAGTCTGATAATAATTTGGATTAGTAGTTTCAGTATTAATTAGTGAAATCATTAATTAGCTTATGAAGGAAATTGGAAATTAATTGGAATAAGACCGTTATAATGTTAATAGCACAACGACATTTGACAGCTACAATATAAAATCCGGTCATGTTTGATAACATATTTAAAGTGATGAAATTGCCAGCCCGTTTGTACAGCGCAGCGTTTCCTATCCAAAAGAAGGAAAGAATTTCATTTTCTGGGATATGGAAATACGCTAATAATACGCTGATGTTTTCAACTTAATTAATATTATTTTAAAACATATTTTTGAACTCATTGTAATCTATTCAAACTGTGTGAAAGTCAAACATAGAGGCTGATTTTCCGTTAAAAATTTGACAAGATATAAAAAGAATTTTTTTGTATGTTGATGGTGGAATGAAGAGTTCCAAAATAGGTAAAAGAAGGAAGTATTAGAAAGGATGGATATAACCAGGGGTTTACATAGTTCAAGGATGGGATAGGATTAAATTACATTTATCCCGATGGAGAGGAATATCGATAAGATGACTTCATCATAGGATAGAAGGATAGAATTTACATATTTATCCCGGGGGAGCAGAAAGCCGATAAGACGGCTTATCCATATGGCGAACCACGGCCTCTCGTCCGGTTACCATTCCAAGTCGGGTATGGGATTAGTTTTACTGTATTGTTTGTTTTCGGAAGCATGGACTTGGTGGTGGAGGAAGCCGTAACCGACCAGCGGTTACGTGAACCACCCAACGATGGCGAGGAGTCCAGCAATCCTCTCGCACATAACCATCCCTGCATGGGATTCGAACCTGCGAACCCACGCAGAGTAATTAGAGGTGCGGTGGCGAGCGTATTCCTAACGCTTAGCCCGTTGAGCCACACCGCCGCGCCATCATATGGCAAACCATGGCCTTTTGCCCGGTTACCAATGTTGGGTATGAGATAAGTTAGTCATTTGATTGTTTTCGGATACATGGATTTGAATTCAATACACAAATACAAATGTGCGTAAAATGTTAGAAATCACAAGATTAACAAGTAACCCGTCTAGTATAAAGTTCCAGAAGCTATCATTAGTTCAAAAGATGTTGAAAATACCAATCAGAATTAAATTTAAATGAAGAAAGCTTAAAAGACCTACACACACTCAGTTGCCGTACATTCGTTAAATAAAATTGCATAGCATCGTAAAAAAATAAAAAATTAATCAATAAAAAGCAGATTTAATTTATTTCTCAAATAGCAGGTAGGAGCAGCGATCTCACAATAGCAAATCCACTTATCAATATAAAATACATTTGTTAGTCCCAAAACCAAGAGCAGATGGAATATTTGGACAAATATTAATAGCTGCGTTATTGAGCAAAGTGGAATGACAAATTATGGGATGAAAAATTACAAAAATTTCATTTGCTGCCACCTTGTGGTATCTTTGAAATTAACAAATCAGATTGCTGCGTCGGTTTGCGTAAAAGTTTACCTAAAATGACAGATTATTAATTATGAATTTACTACATGCTACCACCTAGTGGTCACACAAAACAATACTACATGATTACAAGGATCGGTTCCGAGCTGTAAAATCACGTTTTGTTTCACGTTTCGCTCGACTGATAAGTTCTTGCTCTTCTTCCGGAGTCAAAACTATCCCAAGATCACGAATCCTGCATAGAAATTTGATCAAAAAAACATGCAAACTAACTAGGAAGGAAAGCCTACATGAAATTAATGATATAACTACCATACGTCCTCGCATATAAGCCAAGCTTGAAATTAAAAAAAGTTGCCAAACTGAGGGGATGGCTCATACGCGCATTACTCTGAACTAGAAGAATCTTTTTGAGGAGTTTGACAATGATAGTGAGGATGAATTTTGAGGATTTTGAAAAACTTTTTACCGTTATTAATAAAAGTAAAAATAATGGTTAGCATTTTCATTACTTTATTTCTGCAACCATTTGATGTGATAGATGCGATGCGATTTATAGGGTCGGCTTAATGGTGAGATTGGCTTATATGTGAGGGTATGTGGTAAGAATATAAGCTGTTTAATGGGGGCTCCCGAAGTATGCGAACCAAGATGGCGGACATCGGAATGTAATATGTGTACTATGTTAGGGTTAGGCCATAATTTTAGGTATAAATACTACGGAAGGCTCTTGGCTAGTCTTCGAGTTGATAATAGGACTAAAATAAGGAAAATTGGAAAAAAATTGTCGCCTAACCCTAACCTGTTACGTTCCGATGTCCGCCATCTTGGTTCGCATACTTCGGGAGCACCGTTTAATGAGATGCTCTTTCACTTAGCTGAACAAGATTTTTAAAAAGCAGCCAAGATATTGAGTTGTTAAGATATTATCAGGAAAAAGAGAATATATGTTTTTTAATAGTTTATATTTATCTAATGAGAGGAAAGCCTATAAGATGATAATTATATGACATTTTAGATCAACCAATTTGGAAAGTGGAGGAAGTCGTAACTGACTAGTGGCTACATGAACTACCACATGTGACAGTAAGAAGTCTAACAGCCAATCACAGTGGCCCCAGTAGGTGTTAAATCCATGAAGAACAATTCTTCACTGATCATCTGTTGAAGGATATTGTCCTAAGAGAGAGTGAAGTTGGTGAGACACCTTCCACCTGGCCAGTTCAGGTTGGGTGTGAGTTGGGTATTACTTAACCATTTTATTGTTCCAAACTTGAAACTTTGTCTGTGGAGAAAAACGTATGCCACAATGTCAAACACCCTGCAACCAAGTTTAGCAATCTTCTCTCATGCGAATATATCGCACAAAATTCAAAACTGCGGGCCCGTTTAATCAGAGGTTCATTACTAAGTTTCCTCTTAGCACTTAGAAGATGCATCGATTAGCGAGTTTAAATATACTAACACAAATGAAACGACTAGGGCAATCTCATCAGGTGAAGATTTCAAAGCCCGGCATAAGGAGAAAAGCACATATTGCAGTGCTTTGAGAGAATTCTTTGTACTAAGTTACTACATGCTACTGTTCTTAAAAACATGCAAATCTTTAGACTTGATAAAAGAACTTGATAAGACATTGAGGTTTAAACAAAAAACGACTTCTCAGAACAAGAGAAATGTTAATGTTACTCCAACATTATTACCCAAATTTGGCAAGTTGCCTTAGCTTAGTTCGGTAGATAAAATTAGATTTTATTATAAGAAAGTGCATTAGATGGCTCTGAAGACTGGTTACCAATCCATGTTGAATAAATAAATGGAAATAGTTAACTTAATAATTGTTCCAGTTGCTTGGTCCATAAGCAGATTTTAATGCGACTGACCATACCCTTGCAAGGTCACATTAAACATTAAATATAAGCTAATATGTCTTTCGGAATTTTTAAACTTTTGGTCCAAACAGGACTCTGGATTGGAAAGAATCCTCCAGGTTCATCTTGGTGTGATCTCCAACATGCAAACATACTTAGACAAACGCACATGAGACTCAGACTAGCCAGACAGGCATGTGTTCGTAATAGTTGAACAACAAACATACCACAATTGTAAAAAATTGCCATAAAACATTTAAAAAAAAAAGGTTTCAGTCTCTTTAAATTTCTAAAAAGGGAAAAAAAAACTCTCTGAGATAAATACAGCAAAATGGAAAAAAATATATACAAAAAAAATGTAAAGCTTCCCTCCCATCAATCTATTCTAATACGAATACTTAGAAGAATAGAAAATAGCACCTTGTCGCAATTTTTTGTTCGACCCTATGTCGGTTGCATCTGCATGGGTCATGTTTGTCCAGGTAATGTTCCAATGTATCCCATCCTCCCCCAACTCGAACCATAACATGGTTGCGTAAGATCTAGAAAAGAAAATATTTTAATCGATCTCAATCATTTAATTTTATTATGAGGATACAGTAAATACAAATATTCTGTAATAGGAGAATATATCTGATCTTCATTACTTCTCACATAAATTGATGAATTGGAAAGGATTTTCCCTATTTTACCCTGGAAATGGGAAACCCAATAGAATGGAGGATTTTAGGCAATAAGTTGAGTCAACCACCCTGCAACAGCGAAAAGTCCCGCAACCTTTCAGCAAATAATCCTAACTACATAAGCCAGAGCTGCAGAGACGTCGTCCCAATTAATCATGGAATTCTAGGCTAAAGAGGGCTCTTGCAAACAGCCGCTGATGTGCAATTGGGTAGAGTGATGGATTCCAAAGAGTCAAAGACAGCTTTCCTCATTTAGGCTGAGTATCTAAAGAGCCACACCGCCGCGCCATAAGAGAATCACTAGGAAACATATTCATACTCACCCTCATGAATATCAGTGTTTTCGAATCTCCAACTTTATATTTTCCTTCACTGACTTTTACCATTGGAAACTGAGTCGGACATGTGCACATACCAAGGATATATTGAACCTGAAATAGGTGAATCTTAGGATAGTTTCATGTTGTATAAACAAATCAATATGTTTTTGGGAGCAAATTTTGGATGTCATTTAAAGGGAGAAAAGGGGGAAGGATGGGGTGGAATGAGGTTTGAATGAAAGAAAGTTGAACTGAATATACAAATAAATGTTTCCATGTACAATTTCAAGACACAAGTGGGAACAGTGCTCCTTTTTCTAAACACTGATTTTGCCATATATATATAAATATAGAGGTTCTGTACTTTGACACAGGCAGCATCAAGACTACAATTTAAATCACAATGCTTCAATGTTATGCATTGACAGGCAGCAAAAACATTCTGAATATGATACAATTTCTTGCCAATAAGTTGCCCTGGGCACAAGCATATAACAAACAAACATTTATTAATTCATGTTTTCACTGAAATAAACTTCTTAAATCATGCATTTTCTGTTTTCTTAGAAGTTAAAGAATCTTCGAGTTATTCAAGATATTTATCCAATTTCCAGCCCATATTGTGTGATCACAATCGGACAATTACTAAATTATGACATGATCACTCACAACAATCAAACAGACAACAGTCCATGTCAGATAACTAGATACCTAGTTATAAGATGCATAAACTTGGGGGGGGGGTGATAATGACTCAGCAGTTAGTTATGTGAGAAATCTGCAATGAGCACAGCTCACTAATCTTTTTTCATAAAGTGACCTCCACAAAATCACAAGTTGCAAAAACCCTAAACTTGAGATTAGTTAAAAACTTATAAAATCGATCAGCAGTACGTGGACTCTCCGCAATACGCAGAGAACATCAACCGATGTCACATATAATTAACTCCAACAAAAACAGTGAACATGCTTAGCATACTTTCATTACAAATTTATGATAAATTTATTAAGAATTCAAGGCGCTCCGGAAGTATGTGCACCAAGATGGCACACAACCTGATAACCCTAACCTGGTAAACATACTATGTTCAAGTTGTACACCAATACTTCGGGAACACCGAATTCAAGACAAAAGAAACCATGCTTTTGCAGAACATTCCCTACACAATTCAACGCAGAGCATGATTTCTCATTTATTCAATAGCCCAAGTCAAATATGGGATTAGTTTGTCACTTGAACCCGATTCTATGATGCACATAATCCAACATTCAATCATCCAATTTGATTCAAGGGTCTCGCTGCACAGACAAAACTTTACAGAAATACATTTGTGTTAGAGTGTAGCAAGACTCTTCAATCATATAGTATAGTCATCTTTATTCTTGTCACAGCATACGAATCCACTTCCACAAAGGCAAAGAAATTTTGTTAGTCTTGCGTAATTCTAACTGATAGTTTCTTCAACCATCTTGATGGGATTTTAGCTTGCAAAATATCTAAATATACAGTTTGATTGCCAATTCCAGTTATGGAGGAAAACCAAACGGACAATCAGTTACGTAACATTATGCAATATGCAGAGTCTTTATAATCACCCTCACAAGATCACAATTCTCCAAACAGTAAACATGCTTAACAGCTGATTTCATTTCAATTTTTGGTAAATTCAAAACATTAAAGACAACAAACATCATGCTTTCGCAGAACATTCTCAACACATTCTTACCTCATTCTGATAGGAAGCAGAAAAATATACATTTTGAAAAATATTGTTAAAGCACCATAGATGATATTCCTACAGGTATAGAATAATTCAGTGTCAGAATTTATGTTGGAAGAATAACTATTAACTATATTAAGTAAAAAAATAACTAATAACTATAAAAAATGAACTGGATTGTAAAAAGTGATGTAAAATAAGAAACTCCAAGTCAAAGCCACCTAATAATATGATTTTGGTCAAATAAGACTCTTGAATTCCTACAACAAGGATATTAGTGATTTGTGATACTCCATTATAATTTGGCCTCACCACCAAATCAGCTAAGTTACAATTGCACAACGTTATTTCTGATCTGGTAAGAGCTAACGAAATATAGCCATATGATGACTTTATTATAACTAGATTGCAAGACCAAAATGTACAAAAAAGGGTTATTAGATATTTTGTCCACACGGCATTATATTGCAAAAACGACATCCGCTAGATGATGCCACTGAGACGGATTCACGCGACTTTCTCCTTCAGCGAACGGCGTCGTTTAAAAATACTATATGACGTCACACATCGAAGATAACTTGCAGACGACCGTTTATCGTGGCATTCCGAACATTGCAATCGGTTCAAAATTTAGCGAAAATGATAGCCCGTTAAGGTACGCTGATTTTTAGCAGAGAATGACGTAAGTTTTCTTCAAATATGGCCAGATTTTACTTGTCAATTATTTTCTAATCCGCTAATCTTTTGTTGTTATAATAATTATATGCGAACAAAATGTAACATTTTATCTGAAGATTTGAAATGCGTTCTAGGGTTAGAGTAGAACATAAAACAGTGATATTAAAAGTATAAGGCTTGCAGTGAAAAATCGACATAAAACTTTTACATAAAAGTACGTTGGAGTGGCATTGGAGGCCAATACAGCCTCCTGTAGCGATATTTTGCGTCGCTTCATGGCTTGAAACTATAATATAGTATATATACTCGCGCTACTAATCAAAACAATTCATTCCGACGCGAACTTTCCTTTTCCAATATTACTATCCCTACGCTACAAAGTCATTTTACGCTTAAAATTCCCAACAGCATATAAAATTTCCGTATTTCTGACCACACATAATTGTGGGTGAGATCATTGTTTTAGTTGCGCGCGACACCGATATACACTACACTTATATATATATGCATACTATATACACTATACTTAATAAAAGTTTGTTCAAAGCAAGGTATTTATTAGGGAAGTGAGGTACTGAGAATAGATATGAGTAATTTTATCCTCAGATGTCTCAGTGGACCGTAAATCCAACCACGTTTGCATATCTATTATTATTTTCACTTTTTGAGTCTGATTCTCGACTTATCTTAATATGAATATAAATTTGTTGGCGCTCCTTAGGTATGTGCACCAATACGGAGGTAACTAATATTGTTCGCCTACTTTACATCAAGTTGTGTAAAGGGACTGAAACCTGTGGGTATATCCACTTGGCTAACACAGACAGTCCCTGAACTCGTAATAGAACTAAAATAAGGAAAATCGGAATAAAATTATGGTCTAACTCTGACCTGGTTTAAACACTACGGGAGTGCCAGTTTGTTTTGATTCACCCGATATGCAATTTACAAAACTTACACAAAACGATGAACACTCAGAAGATTGGGGAAATCAGGAATATGGCCAAAAAGGTTTAAAAGACGTGGAAATATGCCAGTTATTATAACACAAACGAACATACAAAAATAGGACAAAAACACGAATGTTCATCTAACTTGTGTGACATAAACACACTGCAAAATAGCGGGAGTTAGTAAATTACAATTGAAGAAAAGTTACATTTTACATAAATCCCTAAAAATATCGATTTCAGATATTTAAAAATGCATTCCAATACCAATGAAAGGAAGCCAGAGGCCGAATTTCTGTTTGAGACCAAAAAAACAGCTGTTCCCTGTAGTTGGAGGGTGGGGTGAGGGGGGATAAAAAAAAGGTGGAAGGCACGGTCTAATTTACCGTCAAATTTCTTTTGTAGTTTGGGTAATGTTTGTTGAGCTTAGCACCTTTTTAAGGCTTCAGCGTACGCAGAAGCGAGCCTGACAGATGCGGACGGTGCCAACCTACCCCGTATTTATTGGCAATATATAACCACAGTTTCATTTTAACCTTCCAATTGTGGTGGTTACATTCCCTGCAGAAAGTTGGGCGAATTGGAGGCGTGTACACAGCAACGAAAGTGAAAGAAACCACGCTAAGAATATGGCATCGTAATATTGTAATAATAGAATTCTCAAGATTGGCGGCTCCGCCAAGCCCAAGGTTGTGAATTGTTAACGCCTGTTCAATACGTTAGACCAGGGGTGGGCGAGGTTTTTAGAGCGGGTGCCAAAAATGTTGCCCACCCGGACTGGCGGGCCATGTAAGTGTGACGTAAAAAGTCACATTTTATGAACAATACTTACAGAGTTACAAAAGAAAAATTGAAAAACAACAAGCCTCGTGCCAAAACTAAATGTATTCGCAATCTGAACAAATTCCTTGAGCTATTTAAGCTAAAACATCAACATTTGGTTGTGGCAGAATCGGTGACCGTACATTTGAACCCATGTACATTTGAACCCATGCGTATATCCACGGGTTCAATCTATATGCGGGTGCTAAAATCCATGGGTTAGGGTTAGTATGGGTTTAACTATCCGTGAAACAAAAAAAATTCCATAGGTGCAATAGCATACAGGTGCAATTGTCATGGGTTCAAACGTACGTGGGTTCAAATGTAATGGAACCGGCAGAATCAGGCGGGCCAGACTGGATTACCCAACGGGTCGGATGCCCATGTCAGCGGTTTACTTTACACGCGTTTCGGTACTATCTAATAAGGCTTCACAACTAATTTTCTATCTAGTTGACTTTGAATCTGTTTATTAAGTTAGAATAAGTTGGGTTATCTTAAGTAACATAAACTTAGAACAGCTGGGCAATAACTCGAACAAGTTCGTTCAATGTAAAATTCTGAGGCTTCAGGTAAAAGTTGAAAGATAATTGGTAGGAGAATAGAAAGCAACCAATCTTTTTAGTGCAAAAACATATTCATTTCGGAACTTGTTGCACGAAGAGCGGAATCAGTGATACACACAGTTCCAACGAGCATTCATTCCATTTTATTACCGTCTACAACAGCGGTGGGAACAGATAATAGACTTGGTTACTGGGCGGGAAGCCCAAAACACAATAGGAATCAGTTTCTAGACTGGCGTTTATATAATGAAATTATGCAAAATGAAACAATCGGGATCATTATGGCCTTATTTTTATCGATATTTCCTACAGATTAATCGTAATTTTAGCGGACGCAGGGAGACCGATTTGAACTTCTTTCTGGTCAATGGGTTGGTTAAGTTTAGAGAGACGTAGGGTGTAAAAAAGTTTAAAGTTGAAGATAATAAACACATATATTAGTATTCACATTTTGTGTTCACTTATTTGAGTATTACTGTTGCATATAAATTGCAATGAACGACTCCATGAAAGAATGGGATACAATTAACAAAGTGTATTTTATATGAGATAAATAAATAAAAAATCTGATTACTGAAATAGTGCCTTTTTCCGTTATTTGAAGATAAAGAGGTGGGGGCGCAGTCTAGTCTTCCACCGAGCGTCAGGTTTCTTGCAGTTTGCGGTAGTGAGTATGAGCTTAACACCATGTGAGGCTTCGGCAGGCGCAGCAAGAGCGAGCCCGATGGACGCGGACGGCGCCAGACCACGTTGTACTCATTCATAATATATAACCATAGTTCAATTTTAACCTTTCAATTGTGGTGGTTACATTTCCCTGCAGAAAGTTGGGCGAATTGGAGGCGTGTACACAGCAACGAAAGTGAAAGAAACCACGCAAAGAATATGGCATTGTAATAATAAAACCTCAAGGTTGGTGGTTCGCCCAACCCGGGGTTGTGAATTGTAAACGTCAGTTTAATACTTTAGAGCAGAGCTGTGCAGCCATTGTTACAGAGGGTTCAGATACAAATGAAGACCGTGCGGACCGTACATAAAAAAAAAACTCGGCCGACAGTCCCGAACTCGTAATAATTGGAAATCGGGAAATCGGAATAAAATTAACCCTAACCTGGAACACTCTCTATACGGGATTAACTTTATTTTATGTATCATAGAAAGATCAAATCCCTGATGAATAAAATAGTGATTTTTTAGTTATTTGGAGATAAAAAAAAAATGTGGGAGCATTCGCCCCCTGGCGCCGTCTAGAGTTCCACCGGGCGTCAGGTTTCGTTTGCAGTTGTGTAAGAGAGACTGTTGTCGATTGTGAGCTTAATGCCATGAGGCTTCAGCGGGCGCAAGAGCGAGCCCGGTGGATGCGGACGGCGCCAGTTAATATCGTCCTCATTGACAATATATAACCATAGTTTAATTTTAATCTTTCATTTATGGTAGTTATATTTGTCCTACAGAAAGCAGGGAGAGTCGGAGGCGTGTACACCAATGACTGACGCAGTACAGGAAATGTGACATTGGCATATTTCTGCAACGAAACGAATGCAACACGTAGAACCAATACAAATATCCGACGTTGGGTGATTCCCCTATGCGTGTTGTCGGTTACGTTCAAACGTCGATTCAATGAAACTCATCCGCCGAGAAAATTACTTCATACAAGTTTGTTCAAACTGAGTTGTGCAAAAGTGGAAAAAGTATCAATAATGGAGTTACAAGTGTAATTTATTAAATGCGTTGCTCTATTGGCGTTTCTATGCGAATTATCCTCGACATTTGTATAAGAAACTACTTGTATTCAGACTTCTTCGTTTAAGTAATTTCGTAAATGGTTATTCCAAATCATAAGTTCGTTTCAAATAGTCAAATAGATGCCAAAAATATTATTGCTTGGCTAGGTAACCAGATATGAGTGAGTTTTTCCGTGCGATATATGTTTGCATGTACTCCCGAGAGTGTGTGTACCAGGTTTACCAGGTTAGAGTTAGGCCATCATTTTAAACCGATTTTCCTTATTTTAGTTCTATTACGAGTTCGGGGACTGTTTGTGTTAGCCAAGTGA